AGCCCATAGAGTTTGGTTACTCAGAGGCCATATGTTATGTCTTAGCAAATACTGGAAAAGTGCCATATACATGGCTATATGCTTTCATGAAGAAGATCATAAATGCTGAAAATTCTGCTAGGCCACTCAGTTCTTTCTTTTGCCTAACCAGTTCTAATTTTTTTATTAACTAATTGGATTCCTTTAGGAAAAGATTCAGATTTTTGTACCTCATTTTATATCCAGAGCAGAGTCTACTAGGCAGATCTCTAGACTCTAGCCTATTACATTCTTAGGCCAAAAATCATAACCTGCTGCTTCTCAGAAAAGGCTGGCTCTCTATGGAGCTTACTATGTGCTTATCCTGACAGTGCACATTCTGCCTTGCTATAGTGAAGAGACCTATTCCAAATAAAAAAGGAGCCACATTGGGCTTCTAGATTAGATTGCCAGTGTTGCTACCCATGGTGAGGTATTTGCCTCTGAGTTTCAGATGATCTCTCTTCCTTTCTCTCTGGGGGCCCTGTGTCATCAACCATTAAGAACAAGGAGGCCCAGGTCTCCTGAGTATTTGGGTTCTACCTTAGTGTTGGAATTTGGTCATTATTCCCTCTATCCTTGGAATCACAACAAATGTGTCTTCTTTCCTTAAGCTCTCACCTTAGATGCATCCTATGTGTCTAGAAGCATGAGGAAGAAGACTGATTATCTCTTTGTATGTGGCCCTGGCCTGTGAGGATACTTACCATTTTCTCTACAATGAATTTGTGCTAGTTTTCAAGGTCTTTTTGCCTTCTTAATGGAAATACTCAGTTTTCTTTTTCTCAGTAAAAAAAAAAAAAAAAGAGATCTGGTCTACCTTCCTTCTGCCCTCCTACCCTCCCATATGAGCACGGCTCCCCAGGGCCACATACTCCTGCAAAGCTTTTTTGCTGCTTGGCTTTTCTCTGAACAGATCTGAAATTGCTGCTCCTGTGGTTTTTCAAAATTAACTAACTGTGTCATGGTTTTAAAAAAGAAATCAAAATGCATTGTTGCATTAAGCTTTTTTAATAAAGGAAAATTATGGAAAGAAAATAGGCAACACCAGCAAATTATATGTGGACAAGTTCTAAACTATATATATACATACACACACATATATATATATATAAATAAATCTAGTTCTCATTGTCATCTTATTGAAAGGAAATAAAACCTCTAAGGATCACCATTTCTGAGAGGTTCTTGGAAATCTTTATGTCTAAGTGATTGGTTAGATCAGCAATAATGACTATGTAATCTCAAAAGATAAATAAAATATTCTTAAAATGGATTCTTGTCTTGACATTATTCCTTGCTTCTGTTAACTAGGAATCCAGAGATGAGAGAGGTTTCTGGGCAACAGGCCGAAGAGCCTGCTGCAGGGCAAGGATGTGAAAAGCTGAAGTAGTTGCTAATAGGCATGTTTGAGTGGCTTTAGCCTTGAGATCCTTATTCCATGGTGGGCCATTCCACTAATAAATATCCCCCACTCCCCCACCCACCAGTTATGTGGGTAAAGAATCTGCTTTCTCAGAACCACCACCCTGGGGAGTTGAGAAGTATAGGTTTAAGGCAGAGAAACTAAAGCCTGTTTTTAGGTCCCCCAAGCCCTCTGTGTGCTGCCCTTAACTGGAGAGCACAGGAAGCTATGTTTTGCTATCAAAGGACCCAAAACCCAGGGCCTGACTACATCCAACCAAAGAGAAGAAAGAAATGAATTGCAGAGATTTGTCAGGTTTTGCCTGACTAAATCGGTAACCAGAGGATGTGTTCAACTGCCTGTTCCTTCTCAACTACTACGAGAATAGCCATTTTTTAGTAGCTTTCTGATAGCCGCTTTCTTTAGTTGACGACCTGAACTAGTTCTACATCTGTAGGCAAGATGCAACAAAGAAGTGAGACAATTCCTTGTCTCAGTGTAGGGCCCTACAGCCTCCATGGCCTCATTACACACACATGTGCCCTGGATGCAGAGAGAGGGGTATTCTACCCTGTTTGTACTACATTATTCTGGCTGCCCAATATCCTTGAAAACTAGGTATTTTAAGGCTTCCTGCATCTTATTGTTAAGCTGTCTCCATACCAGTTACTATCTACTTAATCATCTATCTGACTGTGGTTTAAGTAGAGTACTTATGGGGGAAAAGGGATGTTCAGTCCTTGTAACTATACCTATTTATACCTCCAGTCCTCTACCAGCAGCTTCAGAATACCTGAGTTTTGGGACAAGGGAAAGTGGTGGTGTAGGTAGTGTAGGCTCAGCACTGGAGCCATCTCTGCAAAATGGAAAAACTTGTAGACCAGCCCTGACTAATCAGCTCCCGGGTATATTTATGGGTGCCTCTGTAGTCAATAGTATTGATGACTGTCACTTCTTGTTTACAAATAAGCTCAAAGAAATTGTGTGCCAACTCCATGGCCTGTAGTTTCAAAGTTTTCAGTTAATCTGTGGTTTATTGTTACATCTTCCAGGAGTTGTTTCCAAGTATCTTCTTCCTTATGACAAGCTCTGAAAGTTGAAGCCTATACTGAGCAGATAGATGTCTGATCTTTACTGTCTCCCATTCTGCTGGGATTGAGATCTCTTCTCATGTTGATTCTTTGCAATCTCCATAACACCAGTTTTTCAAACTGCTTCTCTGAAAGTGAAGCCAGATGGAGCTCTAGGCTCAGCAATTGGCTTTACGTCGAGGCCAGAGAGGACTTGAGAGCTGTCCTCAAGCCTACTCCCAGTTGAAGATCGCTCTGCTCTCTTTGCCCTAGGGATAGGCTGGAAAAGGAACAAAACTGGCCACTCCTGTCTGCCACCACTGTTGGAGAGCCTGATGATTGCCTAGGCTTACAAAAGAAAATATGAATTTCTGGGCCAGTCAATTCTAGGGCTCTGCCTGCTTAGGAGGAGAGGTATTGGGAAGAGGGGAGGTAGAATAATTAATTCTTTTATTAAGAAACCCCAATAGGCTGTGCTGTGGCAGGTTTACCACACTGAAGCAGTGATGAGCTAGGCGTGGGTTGTGAATTTTAAAGTAGAGTATGAATCTTTAAGAGTTTAACAAATTATACCCTGAAAAAAGTTCCAAAATCAAATAGTTTAGGCCTTGAGCCAGGAACTTTCTTGGAAATTCATATCAATTCAATTCTCTTAAAATAGTGGCTCTCAACTCCAGAAGATTTTGCCCCCCCAGGGGACATTTTGCAATATCTGGAGACATTTTTGGTTGTCACAACTAGGGCAAGAGTACTACTGGCATCTGGTGAGGAGAGGCCATGAATTCTACTAAACATCCTACAACACGCAAGACAACCCCCTACAACAAATTATTTTTCAGTCAATAGTACAGAAACTCTGTTTTAAATATATATACATGAAGGTGTACAAAAATGAACAAAACTTGGCCCTGCTTTCAAGGAGCATATTTCCAGGTTGGGTGGTGGGAATGGGAATGGGAGAGGAAAGGGAAAATGGTGGGTGGGTACAATAAGGAGATGTTGGGAATCAGGGAGAGAAAGGAACTCAGAAAGCTTCAAGGAGTGCCCTCTCCCCTTCTCTCTCTCAACTCCGTCTTGATCTGTCACCTACAGACTAGCAGAGGAAAGTGTGAGGGAGAGAGATGGTTAAGAAAGGGACAGAGGTGTTCCTAAGATTTAGAAAGGGGTAGTAATTCCTTTGGGCCTCCAACTTTGGGGATATAGTAGAAAATATAAGAATTTTGGATCCAGGCAGACTTGACATGATGCCAACACACCTTGTGGTTATGGGTTGGGTTGTGGTTGTGGGTTAGGTTGTGGTTGTGGGAGTAGGTTAAGGAGGATCAAAAGGAAGGCTTTCTGGAGGAGGACGTGATGACTAAATATAATCTTTAAGGAAGAACAGAGGTTAGCCAAGAGAAGAACAAAGTTCTCTCCAGAGGGAACTGCATATGCAGACACTGAGAAAAATAGGTGATACCTCGGGAACTGGAAGGAGTAATGAATCTCTGTGCGTCCTGGTTTCCTCTGCAGTAATATTGGATTAGTGAAAACAACCTGTCAGAGAGAGGTATGGTAGGATATCTGGAAAGTGTCTAGTGCAATGCCTGGAACAAAGCAGTTCAACATTATTCCCCCGCTCCTACCCATTTGGTCCCTCACTCCCCTCAGGCTGCTTGTTTGGGGCTTCTATTACCAACCCAGACTGCCTAAATATTTACTGTACACTGTTTTTGAGATAAATTCCGGAGCGGGCAGACCACAGAGGCTCGTTTGCCCCAGGTAACGCTGAGCCCTTAGGAAGGATCTTTAGAGGAATGAAGGAACGGACTGTGGAGCAGGTGGGTTGGGGACTTGCCCTCCATTCAACATTTACTCTCTAGCTCCCACCATGAGGAAGGTGCCCCCCTCCAGCAGAGAAAGGCAGATGACCAGGAGCAGCCCTGAAGGGCACCAGCAGTCTCAGAGAAATAAAAACGCCCCACCCCACCTCTCAGCCCCCAGTCTCCCAGCCAAGCCCTCATTCCGCGAGGGATGAAATCTCTTCAGAAATCACAGCTTTCAGAGACAGCGAGTCCCTCGTTTCCTGCGGTGTGCCTGGCCCCCCGGTGGTGCCATCCCTTCCCTGCAGGAGCGGGGATGGAGGTCTGTGGTAAAGGGGAAACGGAGACTGCAGTGGAGCAGGAGGCCGAGAGAGAGGTCCCCGAAAAGGTCGCTGTTTAGGAGGGGGTGAGGGCTGAGGCACACCGAGTGAGAAGCAAATCGATAACCCGCCTGAGCTCAAAGCCCAGAATTCGGGAGGTGGAGCGGATAGCCAACCCAAGAGGATACTGCTACCAGCAACGCCGCAGTACTTAGAGAAAAAAAAAGGAAAGAAAGAAAGAAAAAAAATCCCTTGAATGAGCCCCACCTCCTCCTAGTCCCGCGCGGAGCGGTCGAACCGCCAATCGCGCCGTGGGGCGGGGCTGCGGGCAGCGGTCGCAGCCAATAGCTGTGGAGGGGGCGGGGCCCGGCTCCCGGCGCGCCGCGGCTGGGTCGCCCGGGACAGAGAGCGCGGAGCGGCTGAGGGCAACGGCTGAGCCGGGCCGCATGGAGGACCCCGCGGCGCCCGGGGCCGGGAGCCCGCCCGCCGATGGCAACGGCAACGGCAAAGGGAAGCAGGCGGCGCCTAAGGGCCGGGAAGCGTTCAGAAGTCAGCGGCGCGAGTCGGAGGTGAGGAGCCCGGAGAGCTTTGGGGGGTGCCGGGAGACGCCCGCGGGCGGGAAGCGGCGGCTGAGGTGATTCGGCCGCGTCCCCCGCCCGGAGCCCCCGGCGCTTCCCGGGCCGCCCCCCGGAGCCGGTCCCTGCGGGGTCCGCCGCAGCCTGGACCTGGGCTCTGCAGCCCGTGCCGCGTCTCCGCCCGTCTCCTGCCGTGGGCCGGGGCTGGCTAGCCCTCTGGCCTCCGCTCTAGGGGCGCGAAGGGAGCGCGAGATCGAGCGTCCCAGATACTTTTCAGATGTTTGCCTCTTAATCGCTGCAGCCCGTTCTAGTGGGGACTCGCGTCTCCGATTTTCAGAGGAGGAAACAGGCGCGGGGAGGTTGAGGCACCGGCCTGAGGGGTGGGAGGCCGGAGCCCGGCCGCGGGGACGAGGCCCGGCGTGGGGGCAGCGCCCGCCCGCGCCCCCCGCGGCCCTCGGGGCATCCGGACGTGCCGCGTGACTCCTGCCCGGCCGGCGCGCCGGTGAGTCGGCCGGTCGTTTCGGGAGCGCCTTCCGCGGCCATCAGGACCCCTACCTGTGCGGGTTCATAGACGGGGTTCGGGCTGGGGCGGTGCAGGCGGGAGTGGATGCGGCTGTGCCAGGATGCAGCCCCGCGGGCGGGAGTGTGAAGGTTCGGGTCGCCGCCTCTTCTTTTGAAAAGAAGTCCTAACAAGGAAGGTGAAGGGGGTGAATTATCACTCCCCCACCCCCGCATCCAGCCCGTTTCCACCAACCAGCCAAGAGTAGATGTGGCTCTGAGCGCGATCAGAACAGACCACAAAATGTCCGGTCTGGAAGGGTCTGTGGAGATCATCTGGTTTTAGCCCTTTCTTTGACAGAAGTAAGAGACGGAGGTAGCTCCCCCGATATCATGCCGCTGGCATGGTGGCCGGGAGCACAAAGCTTTGAGGTCGCTCAGACCGGGTTTTGAGTCACAGGCCTACCTACCATTTGCGCTCTGTGACTTTTGGCAAATTGCCAAATCTCTCTGAGCTCCAGTTTTTTCGTCTGTAAAATGAGGTTAACACTACCTGCCTCAGAAGGTTGGGACAAGGTCAGTGTAAAATATTTAATTCAGTGCAGGCACAGTGCGTGTAATTGGTCAATACCTGGTGGCTGTTAGTTCTGTATCATCATCATCATCATCATCCAGGGGCAGAGCTGGTACTAGAAGGCAGGTCTTAGACTCCCAGTGCACAGTTTACCGTTTGAATACTATTTCACAGTTTCCAAAGGGATCTCGTGTATGCTTGCCATTTTGATACAAACGAGTAGGAATCCATCCCGTTTTTTAAAAGAGGAGAAGTGGAGGAGGTGAAAAGACTGGCCCAAAGTCGCACCACCTTTCAGAGGCAGAGCTCAGCACTCCTGTCATGCTAGCTGAGGGTTCTATTCACTGCCTCACGTCCCTCCCTGCCTCAGTGTGAATCTGGCCTTTTAGGGCACCCTATGCCTTCTTCCCCCATAGGGACGTTGTTCTTGCTCAAATGTTTTTGGGGGCCAGGGGAATGACTGCTTCGTTAATATAACAATTATTGGGTCCTTTCTCTATGCCCGGCACTGTTTTAGGTGCTAGGGGTATAGCAGTGAGCAAGACAAGGTCTTTACCTTGTGGAGGTAACATTCTAGTTAGGGTGGAGAGACAGCGTATATGCGAGTAAATAAAATAATTTCAGAATGATATGTTCTGTAGGGGAATTAAAACTCCAGAAGTAGGAGGCCTTTTCCCTACCTATCAAGTCTTCCTTCAGGAAAAAGCTCTGATTGTACTTTACTTTTGACAGTGAGTTCAGTATCCGGAGGCTCAGAGCTTTCCACCAGCACTGCAGTTTACCTCCTGATTGTCTGCAGCTGCATTTCCTGCTTGGAAATAAATGAACAACTGCAGCGATCCTCTCCATCTGGGCCCATCACCTGCCTAAAGGCTGGCTGGAGAGATTAGCTTCCCTCCACCTTCCTGCAGCAGGAGAGCTGCTTTTACCTGTCAGCACGTCCCCTACCACCATAGCACCCAGGTGCCAGACTCAGATGACTACCTGCTTTTCCTTCCCTCCCTCCCTTTTGCTTTCCTGTGGATGACAGTCCTCAGGGGAGATGATTTTCTTTCCTCTCTACGGCTTCTAAAGAATTACTGGAAGAGAATTACTGTTGGCACAAGTCAAGAGAGCCTCCTCGTACATCACTGTGTTTATAGGGGCTCTGTTGAACTACCCTCTCCCAATGGTTTAGCGTAGTAACTTTCCAGCCTAAAAAGGAAATGAGAGAATAATTGTTTGCTTAATAAAAAGATTCTTACCCTAATGAAAGGATTCACCTCCAGCCTCTTTCAGCCAGATCCCCTGGTTTAATTGGTTCCCAAAGTCCTTGACAAAATTTTAATTGGTTTGTAGCAAAATGAGGAAAATTCTGGGCATTGAAGTGAGTTTTTCATAAAATGTAGTTCAATACATTAAATTTAAAGGATGTATGCGATTTAAAACAGTGTTTTTCAAACTGTAGAGGGTAACCTGTGAGTTGAGATCAACTCTTTTTTTAAGAAGTAGTATAGAAAATATCAGTGCATCGTATATAATAATGGTGAATATTATTTTGTTAAACTTTTTTTCCAGTTTGTGTGTGTGTGTGTGTTGGGACAGGATGTAAACTTTAGATATACTTTGATTTACAGTCAAAAAAGTTTGAAAAGCACTGCTTTTAATGACTTTTTTAATTTCCTTTTTTCTTTTTTTTTGAGCAAGATTAGCCCTGAGCTAACATCTGCTGCCAATCCTCCTCTTTTTGCTGAGGAAGACTGGCCCTGAGCTAACATCCGTGCCCATCTTCCTCTACTTTATCTGTGGGATGCCCACCACAGCATGGCTTGCCACGTGGTGCCATGTCCACACCCGGGATCTGAACAGGCGAACCCCGGGCGGCCGAAGTGGAACATGCAAACTTAACTGCTGTGCCGCTGGGTCAGCCCTGAAATATATTTTTTTTAAAAAAGGTTTTTTAAATCTACTTATCAGAGTAAAACACTAATAACCTTATGTCATTCCCCACCCTCCACCTTTTCTTTTTTCTTACCAGTCTCTGTAATCCAGAAGTTTGAAAATCTTTGCTATAGTGGATTTAAACGTGATTTGCCTTGGTAGTATAAATTGATAAAGTGGTTTTGGAAAACAACTTGTCGTATACAAAGAGCTATGTAAATATTAATAAGATTTGATGCATTAATTCTGTTAATAAGAATCTATCCTTAGAAATGATCCTAAATATTAAAAACTTTTTAAGTGTATTACAGCTTCATGCATACAGTAAAGAAAAATTAAAAACAACGTAAATGTTCAACAGTAGAGAACTGGTTAAGTAAACCAATAGAAATTTGTCCACTTAGTTGTTTAAAGTGATATCATAATAATATAAGAAAATGCCTTTATAATCTAATATTAAAATTGTAAGTTGAGGGCCTGGCCTGGTGGCACAGTGGTTAAGTGTGCATGGTCTGCTTCGGCAGCCCAGGGTTCGCAGGTTTGGATCCCTGATGCGGACATGGCACCGCTTGGCAAGCCATGCTGTGGCAGGCATCCCACAGATAAAGTAGAGGGAGGGGGACACAGATGTTAGCTCAGGGCCAGTCTTCCTCAGTAAAAAGAGGAGGATTGGTGGCTGATGTTAGGTGAGGGCTAATCTTCCTCAAAAAAAAAAAATTGTAAGTAAAATTCTGAGTAACCACCTACATAGTGCTACCAAATGCTGGGTGGTGTGCTAGGTGCTTTTCTTATATTAATTCATTTAGTCCTTACAATGACCGTATGAATTATCCTTATTTTACAGATTAGATAACTGAGCATGTCAACAGTTCGTTAACACCAATTCATTTCGATTCTGACACTACCTGTAGTTAGCACAAACCCCACAAGTTAAGGACTCAGTCCCGCAAGACTGCCCCCTCTTCAACACCAGCCACAAGTGGGGTCCTCAAGCTACTTGCACTTCTGCCTGGCCACTTCAAATTTGGGGGTTACCATGATCCCCACCTCAGGTTCGATAATTCGCTTAGAACAACTCACAGAACTTAGAAAAGTGCTATACTTATGGTTATGATTTTATTATAAAGGATACAACTCAGGAACAACCAGATGAAGAGAGGCATAGGACAAGCTGTGGGGGTGGGGTGGTACAGAGCTTCCATACCCTCTCTGGTTTATCACTCTCCGAGCACGTTGGTCTGCCCAAACCTCATTTTTCAGAGTTTTTATATGAAGTTTCATTACCTAGGCATGGTTGATTACACCATTGGCCACATTATTGAACTCAATCTCCAGCCGCCTCCCTTCCTTGAGTGTGGGGCCAGCCCCCACTTTGAAACTCTAAAGGCTCACACTGTCACCCCATTAGCATAAACTCAAGTATAGTTGAGAGGGACTTATTATGAATAACAGACCCCTGTCACTTAGGAAATTCCAAAGGTTTTAGAAGCTCTGTGCTAGGAAGAAGAGGTATGGGGTGGAGGCAAAGACCAAATATGTTTTTTATACCATACCAAGGCACAGAAAGGTTAAATAACTTGCTCAAGATCACATAATATGTGACAGAGCTGAGATTCAAATTTTTAAAAATAAATATATATTAATATATACTGGTAGAAAATACCCTAAAATGCTTGAAGAGGTTAGGGAGTGGGGTTATACTAAAAATATTTTTTTAATGGGATTATGAATTTATACATACAATATCATAGGAAATCTAGACTTTAATACAACTTAGAGTAGAAATGATACCTTATTTGACAGTCCTAAAGTTGTGAAACATCAGAGCTGAAGGACCTCTTTTTATAGATGAGGAACTAGGATCCACAGAATGAGATTTTCCCAAAATCATACAGTGGGTTAATGACAGAGCTGAAGTTAGAATCCAGTTCACCTCTTTTATTTTTGTCCATCTCATTTTACTAGAGATTAACTAGATGCTTTTCTGGTCTGTGTTTATATAGATCAGATATGGGCATAGATTGTAGCTTTTATGTCTGTTCACCATCCTGGCCCTTTACCCAGAGTTTCTGATTCTATATAGGAATATTCAGTCCTGCCCTGCCCTGAGCCTCAAATTTTGGCTTGGAGGAGGGTACTTCTTGGATGAAAGGCCCAGATGGGACTCTCCTAGCTGCCTCCCTAGTCTAACCTTGGCCTCCAAGAGAGGAAGAGATGAAATGACAGTATAATTTTTTTTTTGTCAACCTTTTTCCCAAGTTACCACAAAGATTTCTCCATTACAGGGCTCTGTGGACTGTCCCACTCTGGAATTTGAGTATGGAGATTCAGATGGGCATGCAGCAGAGTTATCAGGTATGAATGAGGTAGATGCGTCTTTGGAGAGTGGAAGGATGGCCAGGAGGAGAGGGAAGGCAGCTTGTCTGTTCTCCACATTCCTTCTTTTCTCCACTCTCCAGTGGTAAATATCTCTTTGTTTGCTTTGACATTTCTTTCTGTGAACCATCCCTCAGCTGTGGTCTTCTCCATTCTGTCTTTCTGTCACTCTTTTCTGCTTACCCTTCTTTATTCTCTTTTGGTGCACTCTCAAATCTGTTTTCTGTTAACCTTCTCCCCATTTCTCCTCTCTTTCTCTTTTCGTTATTTACCCATATTTTTGCATGCCACCTTCTTTCTGCCACCCTCTCCCTCTCAATCCCATTCCACCTCTCTCTCCTTTTTTCTTCTACCTCCGTCTTGCCCCCTCCCCCTAAAAACCTGCCCCTTATTAAAATCTCAACAATGTCTGGAGAAAACTTATAGACAACTAGCCAGCTGAGCAAGGCTGGACATATCACCTATATCCATCATAGTGGAACTCTGCTTGGATGTTTCTGAGCTGGAGTTAAGTGATCCCATTCTTCTTTCAGTGCTGGGCTGCTTCTCTCTGTCTGGATTTTTAGTTTAGGCTAAACGTGATCTCACATTAAGGGCCTCCATGTTACATGTGCTATGAATACCAGTTATTAATAAACAAACTTTGGGTGGAGATGGTGTGAAAGTTAAATATCCCGTCACATGGAATTGATACTTTGAGATAGGCTTTTTCAGAGAAAAGAGACAAACATTTTTGAAGAAATTCTTGTGAATAAGCACAGGGAATAATTTTTGTGATGAGTGACAGAAATAGAGAGCTGAGTTTAATAACCCACAAAGGATTAGAATCCAGAATATGAATACATATATAGAAAGAGAGAGAAAAGATGAACAATCCAAAAGAGAAGTGATCAAAGAATACAAATAGGAATTCATAGAATAGAAAACCTTCTGGTCAATAAATATATGAAAGATGTTCAACTACATTAGTAAGTGGGGAAAAGCAAATTAAAATAATGAAGTATTATTTCTCATTCATCAGACTGCAAAACTTAAAAGACGGGTTGATGAAGGTGCAGAGAAATGAGTACTTTTATACACTGCTTGGCATGAGGAAGCAGAGTATAAAATTGGAAAGCAGTTTGGTCGTATGTAGCAAAGTTGAAGATGCACACTTATTATGACCCAGCGATTCTAGGTGTACACTTTAAAGAAACACTTGAGCACAAGAAAACATGTACAAAGATGTTTATTGTGGCCATCATGAAAAATTGAAAACAACTTAGTAAGAGAATGGATAAACTGTAGTGTATCACTATAATAGGCTATGTATAGTTGGGTACTGTGGAGCCATTAAGATAATTGATTTATATCAATATGCTTCAGTATCAATAAATATTAAAAACATGTTGATGGGGAGAAAAGAAGTGACAAAATAATATATACATGTATCCAAAAAATGGCTTAAACACACAAGTCTAAAAGTTGTTTCTAGGGGCTGGTCTTGTGGCCTAGTAGTTAAGTTCAGCACACTCTGCTTCAGGGGCCCAGGTTCATGGGTTCAGATGCCAGGCGTGGACCTATACCACTTGTCAATCATGCTGTGGCGGTGACCCACATATAAAAATAGAGGAAGATTGGCATAGATTTTAGCTTAGGGATATCTTCCTCAAGCAAAAAGAGGAGGATTGGCAAAGGATGCTAGCTCAGGGCCAACCTTCCTCACCAAATAAATAAATATATAAATAAATAAAGTTGTTTCTGGCAAGTCTAGTTGCATACTTGATTGCAAACAGTATCAGTTAGGTGAATGGATTTTTTTCTTATGGATATGTTAATGACACTGTTTTTCATGTAAAAAACTATTGAAAGACATAAAAAGCTTCCTAAGAAAAATAATTCATGCAATGTGATACTGCTTGGATAAAAAATTTGAAAACAGAATATCATGTGTTGTTTACAGGCACATACATGTGTAGAAAAAAGTAAAAATAGGCATGTGAAGCATACACACCAATTTCATTATAGTGATTACCTCTACAGAGGGAAATAAGATGGACCAGGGAGGAAGAGGGGACTTTAGATGTCTGAAGCAATATAAGAAGTGTTAACATTTGTTTCATCTGAGTAGAAGATACACAGGTGTCTTATATGTATTCTTTATTTATCTGTATATGAAAATTCATGATCTAAAATTTAAAACAAACAAAGTTCAATACCTAAGAGCCTTGCTCCCTTTTCTTACTGGATTTGTACTCTACTCTTAAAACATATATATCCACACCAACCACTAATGAATGAAAAATTTAAGATGCAGAGATAAGATTTGCTTCTGGTCATTCCAGGATTCTGAAACTCAGGACTCAAAAGCCCTGGCTCCCAGATGAGGTGTTTCTCAACCATTAGACAGTTGGCTGGAACATAAGTGACTTTCTTTTGCTTTGTGAATTATTTGTGACCTAGTTAAATTTCTAGCAAGGGTCTTAGGTAGGAAACAGAGTTTTGAGAAAATCTGTTCTATCACCTGTTGACTTCAATTCTTCATTCTCTGTAAGGTGAGGGTACTGGGATAGTGTTCTGGAGTGTGTGTGTATGCATGTGTATGTGTGTAAAAGGGTATTTTTATTTCTCATAAGCTCTCTGCATTTTGTGTTGAGAGGCTACTGTCAGCAAAGTTAGAATTTCCTGGGCCACAGGCAGCCCTTGGGCAACCATGGCTGCTTCTACATGGTTTGATGCTGCCTCTGCCTCAGTGGCCATGGGCAGGAACCGAAACTTCTATACCCTTTGAGGAAACTCAGCAGGGAAAGAATGAACTGGCTCCAACCCCAAAGAGCCGTCTAACACATACTCCAGCCCTCACCCTGACTCCCTGAATAGCATAAGGATCTTGCCTCTGAATTTCAGGAGTTGTGCTGCCCTCTTATTCCCTAGAGACAGGATAGTCTCAGTATGGGTTGACAAGCAGAAGGGGTTGCAACCCTAAGAAACAAGAGTAATAACATTAAACCCTCTCTGCTCCAACCCTCCTCCTGGCCCTCACCAAATGTTGAAGGCTGCCTTCTCTGCTGTAGCAGCCAGCTGGCAGGCAGAGGACAGGTTTGATGGTTTAATCACCCAGGGACACAAGCGGCTATTTTTAACTGCTCTGAAAGGGAGGAAGCTGGCTCTGGATTGACTTGGACGTAGGAACGTGTTGGAAGCTTTAGCTCTTTCATGCCACCCTCTCCATCCCAGCCCCCTTCTGTAAGGGTCTGCTCAATGTTTATGACTCTGTCCTATCTTTTCTGCAACAGAATTGTATAGCTACACTGAAAACCTGGAATTCACCACTAACAGGAGGTGCTTTGAAGAAGATTTCAAGACCCAAGGTGATCCCAGATCCTTATTCATAAAGACCTACTGTTTCCCTCCATGATACCCCAGCCTGACCTAGAAAGAGCCTAAAACAAAGTATGATCCTTCTTCATCCTCTCCATAACCGTATAACTTCTTAATCCTTTCTTGCATATGGGACACAGAGTTTCCTATATCTCAAGTGGAGAAGCTATGGAGTTTCCTATATCTCAAGCAAGAGAAGCCTGAGCTGGGTCCCTTTCCCTGCTATAAAGGGCCAAGAGAACAGCGGGGTGGGGAGGTGGGGCTGGGCAGGTGTCCTGCTGCCTGGTAGAACCCTGTGCCTAACCTTGTCCTTGACCTTAATGTTCAACCCCTGCCTTCAACTCTGCCTCACTCCCAATAGCATCTAATAATAATTTCATAGGCCAACACTGTGATCCTCTCAGACCTCCGTTTCCTTACTTGGTCAGTGGCAATTCAATTTTCAGCTCAACGAGTGTGTGGTAAGTACCTGCTTTCCACCAGAGATGCAGGAGGCAGGGGTGAAGGTGAATTTGCAATATCTTCAAAGATATTATAGTCTAGTAGCAGAGGGGAGATGTGTACATCACAGACCTAGTTGAGGCTAAGAGGAAAATGGTAAGTGTAATAAGAGAAGTAAAAAGTATCTTGTGGAGACAGAGCTTCTGGCCAGAGCATTAATGGAAAGAGGTAACTTTGTATTGGACCTGTAATGATGAGTAGGAATTGGATATGTAGGGGGACGGGGAACTCCTTGAGAAAAGGCAGAGAGATTGGACAGTACAGTCTGTGTATGGAGTATGGAGGAGATGTAGAGGAAGATGATGCTGCAGAGTGGGTTTGGGCCAAAATATTTTGGGTCCTTTACTTTTTCTGTCCCTTATTCTTTCTCAGCTAAATAAGGAAAGCTTTTCAAGAGAAGAATTTGTTGGGGGCTGACATGAGAGGAGGATATGCTTTTCCAGGAAGGGGAGGCAGCAGCTGACGCTAGATCTGTATGGCCTTCTGTCCCCAGTGCAGGGCAAGGAATGGCTGGAGTTGGAAGAAGATGCCCAGAAGGCCTATGTGATGGGACTCCTGGACCGGCTGGAGGTGGTCAGTAGGGAGCGGCGACTGAAGGTGGCCCGGGCTGTTCTCTACCTGGCCCAAGGTAAGTGACCACCTTTGCCAATTTGAGAGGAGCGGAAACTGGGCAGAGAAATGGTGTTATCAAGACTAGGATGAGGCAAGCCATGCTGGGAAAGCAAGGTCCCTGCCTCTCAAGGACAGATCTTGTTGTGTGCTAGGAGTAACCTCGTACTTATGAGGAAGATGAGGAGATGCTGGTGGGTACGGTTTTGGATCACTTGAAATCGGTCTTTGTCTTACCAGGTATGCAAGGATTTCTTATAGGGTTCTTTTTTTCTTAACCTGGGCTGTAATCATATGTGGAGACTAGCAAGAGGGTCAGTGCGCCAGAGCTGACGATGTACCACCAGCTGAGCATGAAGGCTTCTTCCATCAGCTGTGGCCTGGCCCTGACACTGAGGGGAAGTAGGGGGGTGCCACAGGTTCATACATGGACCCTCTGCATTGTTTCTCATTGGTATTTAGAAGGTTCAAGCCAACAGAACAGCAGGAGTGGATGCTGTGAGTAATTTGGAGATGCTCAGAACTCAATGAGATTAATTGAGGAAAGCTTCCCAGACGAGACCTATTAGCCAAGTGTTGGAAAGAGAAATGAAATTCCTAGCTAGAATAGTAAAAATAACCCCTGAGATCATAACTAAGAGGACTGTTGGTAGAACCAACCAGTTGGGAGCTAAAAAACTGTAAAAGAGGGCCTGGCCCCGTGGCTGAGTGGTTAAGTTCGCGCGCTCCGCTGCAGGCGGCCCAGTGTTTCGTTGGTTTGAATCCTGGGCACGGACATGGCGCTGCTCATCAAACCACGGTGAGGCAGCATCCCACATGCCACAACTAGAAGGACCCACAGCGAGGAATATACAACTATGTACCGGGGGGCTTTGGGGAGAAAAAGGAAAAAAAATTTAAAAATCTTTAAAAAAAAAAAAAGCTGTAAAAGGAAATCATAAATGGAGAGGGAAGAGAGGGGACATTAGGCAAAGGTAAGACTATAGCAAACAAGGCAGTGCCCAACCAACCATATCTCTTGGGCTGGCACACTGACCAACTTCCAACTACCTATACCTTCATCTTTTGTCTGAGGGCTTTCTCTGCAGCCCACATAGGGCAGCCAGGAAGTGCTAGGGAATTAATGTGCTCCCCTGATCCGGCAGCACTCATCAACAATGACAGGAGTTAGTGGATGAGTAGTCCAACTACCTCAACCTTATTGGGTGGCATGATTCTGAGTTGTGTTTAATACTGTTTCCCAGAGCTTCCCACAACCTGGGGTTGAACTCTTGGCTGCCTTTTCTTCCCTGTCTCATTTTCTTACTTCTTTACTGATGGTTCCTGGGATCAATTCCCAAATAAACTACTTGCACTTGCATCTTTTATCTCCTAGATCTGCTTCTCAGGGAACTCAAACTTAAGACAAGCCAGTGATGAGCACATTGGACTTAACCCTGGAGACTGCCTCTCTTCTCCCTCGCCTCATTCTAGGAAGCTCTGGGAGGCCCTTGCCCTACCTTTGTCTGCATAATTGTTGGGCAGGGCGTTGGAAGATAGTTTTAAGATCATGGGACAGGGTGGAAGAAACTGGGATACTCCCCTCCCCCTCAACCCCTATGGCACTGTCTGGTCCTTTAGGCACTTTTGGGGAATGTGATTCAGAGGTCGATGTGCTACACTGGTCCAGGTACAACTGCTTCCTGCTGTATCAGATGGGGACCTTCTCGGCCTTCCTGGAGCTACTTCACATGGAAATCGAGTGAGAAGCCTTAGGGGAGGGCTGGTCTAGACAACCCCCTTCCTTGAAGGGTGCCTCATGTCCTTTGCTGGTTCCCTCACTAGAGATCTCTGTGGGAGCTGTGTCTATTCACACCTCAGTCCAAAGCTCACTGACACTTCCCCTCCATTCAGCCATTCTCTCTGATATTCTGTCCTCTTCCCTGAGGTTGTTCTCACCTGCAGCTTCTGTCCACTTACAGCTTCAATCCTGGGCTTCAGGGGCCTATCCTGCGTGGTTTCCTTTTTTATCCAAACACCTCAGCTCAGTCTAACTCTGGAATCTATGAAGGAAACTGTTCTACCTGAAAACATGACCCAAGAGGGACAGGACCAATTCCTGTCGCTGTGCCCGATTCTTTCCATCATGGGTTATAGCTCTAGAAGTGGCCTTATCTGCTGCTACCACTATAGTGACCCCTCATTTTGTCTCGTGCCTTTCACCCAGGAGTTTTCAATAGGTTGAATTCTGTTTATTACTCATCATGTGTCACTTGGCATCTCTTCTGTGTCTAGCACAGTGTTAGGCACAGTGGGGATTACAAGAGGAGTTTATATCACAGAGTTTATATCACTCTGCACTTGCCTGTCTTCATCACAGATAAGAGTTTGCTGAGGTGACAGGAATTCTATGGGCTCCTTTACCTTAGACCACTTTCTCTATAGCTACCTAGCCAGAGAATGGCAGATACTCATGTTTATGTGTATGATAAGTGGAAACACAGCGAGTAAAGCAAGCTTATGGGTTCCCCTTCTCTCCCTCCTCCCTGTGGCAGCAACAGCCAGGCCTGTAGCAGTGCTCTTCGGAAACCAGCCATCTCCATTGCTGATAGCACAGAGCTCCGGTGAGTGAGGCTGGCCAAGGGATTGGAAGAGGGGATGGTTAGCAGTGGGTCACCCTTTGCCCAAATCCCAAGATGCACCCAGACCACTAGAAGTTGCTAATTCCGCTGGGTTGGGCTCCCACAGAGACCATCCCTGAGGTCTCTGACTACAGGCAGGGAGCTGCCTTGGGAATCTCTTGTGATCCTTCTATAACCCCAGGGTGCTGCTGAGTGTCATGTATCTCATGGTGGAAAATATTCGCCTGGAGCGAGAGACAGACTCCTGCGGGTGGAGGACAGCCCGGGATACCTTCCGCACTGAATTGAGTAAGAAGTGGCACTTGAGGAAGGGTAGGAATGGGATACTGATGGTGGAGGGGAAGTATAGCATCTACCTAGGAGAGACAGACAGCCTTTCTTTTTTTAGAATTAATATCTTTTCTTTTAGGATAGAGATTCTGCGTGGCAGGCATGAGGGCCTGGCTTGATTGCCCTGTGTCTATGAGCTAGGACCAGTCATACGTCTTCTCTATGCCTTGGTTTCCTTGGTTATAAATGAGGATAGCCATCCCTCTCTCATTCCATCACAAATTCCACATGAAAAAATGAGTTGAATCACCTTGAAAATATAAGTTGGTGTTGTCATCAGACAGGGATAAGATACGAAGGCCTATGTGATTTTTAAAAATATATTCATTTATGTGGGGAAGTGAATTGTGATCCACAAAATGTGTTGAGTCCTTCAGCCAGAAAGCAATTTTATTATTTGTGGCTTGTCATCCAGCCCCAAGCTTTGGGAGCTAAGTCATTTTACCTACGTGGCCTCCCTTCCTACCCTTGAGGGGCTTTCCTCTGGGGGCTCTCTAAGCCTCCTTCTAAGAACTAAGTACTCAAATTCTTCAGGGGAGGTGAGTGCCTTTCTCACTGTGTCCGGAATCAGGGTTACAGGGGCAGGGTTTCAGCCACCTCATCCTTACTTTCTCACTTGCCTTTCTCCACACCCCCCTAGGCTTTTCCATGCATAATGAGGAGCCTTTTGCCCTTCTTCTTTTCTCCATGGTTACCAAGTTCTGCAGTGGCCTGGCTCCCCACTTCCCCATAAAAAAGGTTTTGCTTCTGCTCTGGAAGGTGGTCATGGTGAGTGGCTGATTCTCCCCGCTCTTATCTCATCAGATCAGAAGTGCCCTCTGCCACCTCAGTTTCTTCTAATTTCAGGAGGCTTGAGCTAGGCAGAAGAATAGGGCAGCTATTAGCCAATGGAGGGGCAACAAGGCTGCCCTAGAGAAATCAGGTGTTCTGTATCAGCACGGGTTACCTGTTTCTGTTGAACTGGCAGGAGATGCCACTCTATGAGTCGGGGTGTCATTGCACCTTACCCTGATAGAGCTGACATTTCATAGAAAGAGCAATGGCTGAGAGTCTGGCCTCTGCTGACGCTGAGGAACCTTGGACAACTCTCTGTGCCTCAGCTTCTCTACCTGTAAGATGTGGGGTTCAGTGCCTGCCCTCCATCCAGATAAATAGACTTGCTTTAAAAAAACAAAGTCCTTGTGAGTCTGTGGTTGCAGTTGTTACTGATCGTTCAATCTGAACCTTCATCTCTGGCTCCCACCCCACAGGACTGGCTGCCCTCCAGGGCAGACCTCATAGGAGGAACTACCTCTTGACTGCAGAGGAAATTGAGTGACTCTGGGGGTTTGTAGCATGTGGATGTGCTCCTTAAATAGGGGACATGGTTTCCTGTTTTTTCAATGGAGGCTCCCAAGAGTCCCTTTCCTAATTTCTGGTGATGTTTCCAGCCCTGAATCAGTAAATAATGCTTTATCCAGACTCCTGAACCCCTCAGACTGAGGATAGTAAACACATTTGCCCCTTCCTGTTTTATTACTTCCTAATTAAGAATGGGGTCCGAGGGGGCTGGAAGTTGGGGCTCTTCCTCTCTATCCATGTTTCCCTGACCTTACTCTCTCGGACTTCCCTCCTTTCCTCTTTCTTTTTTTCCCTTTTCTTGTTTACCCTTAGTTTACACTCGGTGGATTTGAGCATCTTCAGGCTCTGAAAGTACAGAAGCGGGCAGAATTGGGCCTACCTCCACTGGCTGAGGACAGTATCCAGGTTGTAAAGAGCATGCGTGCTGCCTCTCCACCTTCTTACACTCTTGACCTGGGGGAGTCTCAGCTGGCACCACCACCCTCTAAGCTGCGAGGCCGCCGCGGTTCTCGAAGGGTATGGACTAAAGCAGACAGTGGTGCTGTGACACTGGCCAGAAATCAAGATTCTAAGCTACTCTGGATGTGGTAGGAAAGGGCAGTAAAATGACCCAGCTCATCCTTCCCCTGGTTGGCCCTGTGACCAAACTGAAACCTTAGAGTCTACTCTTTGGCCTCTGTCCCCGAGCCCTAACAGCCCCTGACAGGGCTATCGTGATGTAACATTGTGATATCACATCATAGATCTATATCTTGCTACAGGGTCATTGGCTTAGACCTCAGTGCCTAGAGTTCCCTAGCATCCTGAACAACATTTAGGGTATAATCCTGGGGATAGGGACCCAGGGCACCTGAACAGGGCTCCCAACAAATCCATGTGCCCACAGTGAGGCACTTATCATTTTCTTGGCAGCAAGAAGGTTTACTCTGAGCCAGTCACACTTTTGTCTGGCCCTGGAACCAGAGGCTTACATTTACAAGGTAACTGTTTAGGGTTCTGGGTATAGTCTGCATCCCTGAAAAGGTCAGAATGACAAGTTACACTGAGCTGACCATACTCCTACAAACTTACTTGCCTGATCTGCCTGAATTCACCAACTACAGGTGACAGGACCAAATAGTCACACTTAGTAATCTAGTCTACATAATCTGCAATGTGATTTTTTTAACCTTTATTTTTGTTTTATAAAGTAATGCTTACTCATTGTAGAAAATTTGGAACAAATTAAAAATATGAAGAAGGGAAAAAAAAATCACCCACAAGCTTAACAACCAGAGGCAGTCATGGTTAACTTTTTGGCCTATTTCTGTCCAATCTTTTTTTCTTTCTGTGACAAGATTTAAAATTCTAAACTTGCTTCCTTCTGCCTAGCAGCAAGCTTCTGTCTTCCTCTTCCTCAGTCAGCCAGCTGGTTTATGCTCACAGAAGGCAAACTAATTGAATGTTCACCTAAGCAGAGCATAATTAGGAAGGGAAGTGCTGGCAAAAAAAAGGCATCAGTGTTTTCTCAAAGTTCAGTAACTGACTTTGGGATTATCTACGCTCTGTTCCCTGATCATTGGCGTCTTTGCCTGAGAGCTACTTGTCCTGGAATTGGGCCTGGTGGGGATACTAGGATTGTAGTGGGGAATGAGATAGTCTCACAGGAGCTGCATGGTTGTTGTATGTTTCTTAAGTCTTGCAGCCTGAGGGTAGAGGGTGGCTTCAAACAGGGATGTTCAGGGTGAGATCTCTGTACACCTCTCTGCACCCCCCCACCTCCCCACAGCAACTCCTCACTAAGCAGGACAGCCTGGACATCTACAATGAAAGAGATCTCTTTAAGACTGAGGAACCAGCCACAGAGGAGGAAGAGGAGTCTACTGGCGATGGAGAACGAACTTTGGATGGAGAGTTAGACCTGCTAGAGCAGGACCCTTTGGTGCCACCTCCACCCTCACAGACACTCCTCTCTGCTGAGCGAGTGGCCTTTCCCAAGGGCCTGCCCTGGGCCCCAAAGGTCAGGTAGGTTTGATAATACTGGGGACGCTGAGCTTTGGAGGTATAATTGCTGAAGGCCCAGGGTGGAGTGTTGATGTATTCAAGTCCCAACAAGCTGGGCTTGAAGTCAGAATACCTGGGTTTGAAGTTCCGTCTGTTGGCTGCTGTCTTCGCCCAATGCTTCTAATCCTCCAGTTGGAGGGGTAGGAGCCCGGAAAGATTTTGTCTCTCAAGGTTTGCTTTTCTTTCCTTTTCTGGGATTTGTCTCTCCGCCATCCTCTCAGACAGAAGGACATTGAACACTTCTTAGAGATGAGCAGGAACAAGTTCATTGGATTCACTCTGGGGCAGTAAGTGACTGAATGGTCAGAATTGGCTATAAAGGGGTTCTTAGGAGGCCAGAGTAGTGGGTGGCTTGGAAGGAGAGATATTGCATGGTAGTCATGATGCAACCTAGAGCCATTCGGCCATGGGCAACTCCCAGTGACTACTTTGGGTTCTTGCCATGGAATTTTTTCCTTCCAGTTTCCTAGAAGAACTCTTATGTTCTTAGCCAGGTGTAGGACCTTGAGCAATAAGTCATTTCCCTCTTGGGGTTCAATTTTCTCATGAGAGTTTTGGATTAGATAGTCCCTGGGGGCCCATCCTGCTTTAATGGGCTAGAATTCTGTGAAGAAGCAACACAGTCAGAACAGATCCAATCTTCTCCTATTTCCCCAGCCTCATGAATCCTTCCCTCTGGCCTCTATAAAAGCTGAGATGGCATTGTTACTGGTGTTTTACTGTCAAAAGTGTCATTGGGCTCCATGCCCTTTTAAGTAGGAACCTACCACTCCCAGACAAAGTGAGTCCCCAAAAGACTGTACAAAAATTCTAATTTTCAGGAATACTTCTCTGTACCATTGTTCTTTTTGTGTCCTGAAGCAGTAATGGAGGACCCAGAAGCTTGCATAAAAAGATCTGGGATACCACATGTTGAAAGTGGCATGGTCCATGTAACTCTAGGGGATATCATTTGTTCTCTATACTTTTGACACTTATGATCTGGTGTGTCTTGCATTTCACAGGGACACAGATACCTTGGTTGGATTACCCAGGCCGATCCACGAGAGTGTGAAGACCCTAAAGCAGGTGACCAGGGTGGGCTCTCAGTCTTCAGGGATAGGGAACCCTCAAGGCAATTTAGATTACAAGGATCCTGGGTATTGGCTAGGCCTCTTTTACCAGACACATTCTGAATTATTGTTCTATATCTCCCTTGCAGGCATTTTGGCCAAAGAAGAAAAAATGAGATCTCTCCCTACTTACCCAGTTTCCTACATTCAGATAGATGAAAAAGTTCTCCTTTTTTCCTCTCATTGCTTTTCTCTCCTGCCACTCCTCCCTCTCTCTTCCCACTCCTCACTTCCTTTCACTTCTCTCTCCCTATAGGGCCACTAACTTCCAAAGACCCGAGACTGAATAGCAGTCTGCTCTGTATCCAAAGTGTGTGTGAGCACAAAGAATAAAAGTAGTCATCTCTTGCCCAGATCTTTTTTTTTTTTAGGAAGATTGGCCTTGAGCTAACATCTGTTGCCAGTGCTCCTCTTTTTGCCTGAAGAAGATTGTCCCCGAGCTAACATCTGTGCCAATCTTCCTCTATTTTGTATGTGGGATGCCACCACAGCATGGCTGGATGAGTGTTGTGTGGGTCCACACCCAGGATACAAATCCACAAACTCCAGGCCACTGAAGCAGAGCGTGCAAACTTTACCACTATGCCACCAGGCCAGGCTTCTCACACAGATCTTAAACCCTCCCCAACCCTGTCATCATCACTCTATGCACACATAGCACACACACATGCAGCAAAACTCTCAGGGCAGTGGTCCAGAGGCAAAGGCCTGATTTTGGCTTCCCCTTACACTTTGATTGAAGGTAAATGCTTAGGTTTTTGCTGCTTTTCAACAAATATGGAAACATGGAATAAAAAGAAACACTGTACATGAAACACTTTGCTAAGTGTTAATGATGCAAAAGGGAATAAGACTCCTGCCTTCAAAGAGTTCATGGTCTGTTTAGGGTGACAGACCCATAAACAGGACATTTCCTTGTTATTGGGGAAGTTAATCAAGAGGCTGGTACACATGTGATTGAGGCCCTCAGCCCCTTGTTGATGTCTTATTTTTCCTAGCACAAGTACGTCTCCATCGCAGATGTTCAGATCAAAAATGAGGAGGAGCTGGAGAAGTGCCCCATGTCTTTGGTGAGCCAAGGGGGTCCTGCACAGGAGGAGGGCAGGAGGAAATCTGTCTTCAGTGTTGTCACAGAGCATGCGTGCGTGCCTTTGGGCTCTTACTGTGTACCAGGCAAGGCAAGGTCCCTAATTTCATGATACATTAAAGGTAGAGAAAAAAGATAATGAACAAATAATTAAGAAAACAAGAAGACTATCAGAGAATGGGAGATACAATGAAGAAAATTTTAAAAGGATGATATATTAGGAGCGTCTATCATGTAGTAGACTACTTAGCTTGGGTTGGGCAGTCAAGATAGGTAGACCTCTGAGAAGGTGACAGTTAAGCTAAGATGTGAGGTACAAGAAGGAGCTGCCCATAGGAAGATCAGGGAAAAGAGCATTCTAAACAGAGAATGGCCTTAACAAGGTGAGAGCAGACTCAGAGTATTAGGGATAGTGAACAAAGATCTGTGGCTGGAGCACAGGGGCAAGGGGGTAGGGTTGTATGAGATGGAGTCAGGGAGGAGACCTGGGGCCACTTTACACAGGACCTGTAAGCAAAGATAGGAAGAGTGAAGTTGTTTCACGGTACACAGGTAAGTGTTGGAGATTTTAAGCAGGGGAGTGACCATGATCTGATTTATCTTTTTAGAAACCACTGGCTGCTGTGTAAAGGCTAGACCAGGAAAGAGTAGAAGCAGGGAAGTCAGTTAGGAAACTCTTAAAATAATCAATGTGAGAGCTGCTGGTGACATGGACTGCAGTAGTAATTGTGGAGATAGTGAAAAGTAGATGAATTTAGATTATATTTTGGAGGTGTAGCTGACAAGACTTGCCGTTCAATTGGATGTGGATAGAGAGGCAAAGAAGGGAATTAAGAATAAGTACCATTTGCCAAGATGGGGAGTTCTGTTTTATCAAGAGTTCTGTTTTGGTCATACTCAGTTTTAGATGTTCATTGGACACCCATGCGGAACAGCCAAGCAATTAGATATGTGGGTCTAGAGTTTTGGAGAGAGGACAAGCCTAGAGAAATAAATTTGGGAGCTGTTGACTTATGGACAGTGTTAAAAGCCATAGAACTGGCTGAGGTAACCCAGGGAGAGAGTAGAGATAGAGAAGAGGATAGAACCCAGGACAAAGCCCTGGGGCACACGAATATGTTGAGGGTGGGATGAGTTAGGAAAGGAGCCAGAAAAAAAGAGTAAGAAAAACTCTCAGTAACGTAGGAGGAAATCCAGGAGATTGTGATATGTAAAAGCTAAGAAAAGAAATTCTTTCAAGAAGGGAGTGATCAGCTATGTCAAATGCTGCTGATAAATGGAGCACGATGATACTGGAGGTGCCCATTGGATTTGGCAACATGAAAATAACTAGTGACCTTGCTAAGAACAACCTTAAATGAAGTAGTGGGGCTAGAAGCCTAGTTGGAATGTGTTGAAAAAGGAAAGTAAGGAAAGGAGGTAGACAGTCAACATAGACACCATGGAAGTTTTATTATGAAAAGGATAGAAATGGGATGGTAGCTGAAGGAGGATGTAAGGTCAAGGGAAAGTGTTTTATCTAGGCGATATCAGAGAATGTTTATGTCCTAAAAGATGATCCAGAGGAGAGAAGATAATTACAGAACTGATGCATTTGATAAAGTAGAAGAGTGTGAGATCCCATGCACGAATGAAGGGTTGGCCTTGATAAGAGCACAGGCCGTTCATCCTTCATGTCAAGAAGGAAGGTAGAGACTCTGCTAGAATTGGTGTTGAGAAGATGAGGCTATGCCTTATCTGATTGTTTCTGTTTTCTCCAAGAAGTGTGAGGCTGGGTCAGCAGCTGTTGAGGTGATTGGTTTGAGGAGAGAGGAGAAGGTATGAAATAGGCCTTCTGGAGAGCAAAAAGGCAAACATGCAGGATTGCCAGGGTTTATTAGATGCCCATTTAAGACTTGTGTCCATTTAAGCAGCAGGTGAGTTGTGAGGGATGGAAGGGACCTGATTACTCTTCCTTGCCTTAGGTTCTCATGGCAGTGACCCTTGCCCTAGAACAGAGGGACCTTGGGAGAGGAAGGACTGCATTGGCCAAAGATGACTGTGGCCTGAGCAGGCTCTTGAGCACCGGAGGCCCATGTCTCCCCACTCTGATAAAAGACTTAGAGTCATCAAAATGAGAAAGAGAGTTGTACATGAGGAGTCTGGTCAGAAAGGAGGAAGGGATGTTGTAGGTGTTCATAGAGAAGGAAGGAAAATAGTTTTCACCTAAAACCTTCCTTTCTAATACTCCTTCCTGTCTCAGGCCATAGATTATCCAACTCCCTTATTAATTCTCTCTATTGAGTTACCTACCTCTCTTTCCTGGCTTCAGAGCATTCCAGAGTTCTCAGATGGCCTCAGATTGACACCATGGGAAGTGCCTTTGTGTGAGGCATCTGTTCCAGTGTCTGAGGCATACTTGCAGCCTGATTTACACCCCTCTGTGTTCGTGGTCTGAGCCAACCTCTACATGGGAGTTCTGACTCCTGATTCAGCATGTGACATGGCAAGAAGATTTCTGGATTGATTCCAGATAATAGGAAAACTAAAATCATAGGTTGTCAGGGCTGGAAGAGCCCTCAAAGGTCATCCAGACCAGCCCACTGATCCTATAGAAGAGGAAACTAGGACCCAGAGAGGGAAAATAACTCACCCAAGGTCATACAATGAGTCATTAGCACAGCTAGGATAGGAACCTAGATCTGACTACCAGCTCAGTGCTCTTTTCACTGCCACCCTAGACAACCAAGAAAACGTAGCCTTTGGTCAACTGGAAAATGGCCTGGGCAAACTGTGTGTTTCCTGCCATAGGGGGAAGAGATGGTACCAGAGACACCATGTGAAATCCTCTACCAGGGCATGCTGTATAGCCTTCCCCAATACATGGTAAGAAGACAGCCGAGCCAGAGCTGCCCTTCTCTGCTGCAAGGAACAGACAGCTGAGAGCCATTTCAAGCTGAGCTTTCTATCATTTGAGCTTGATTTCTGAGCTTTAGCCCCTAAGGCAAGGCATTCTCTAACATATTAGAATTCTGAGCTTTCCTCAGGGCTCCTCTGAGAGGAAGGAGGACTTGGCTGTACTCCCAAGTCCTTCTTTGGGAAGGGTGGAGAATAAGGTGGGGTACATGTAGGATGTATTGGGGACCCTCCTCCTACGTAAAACCCTAGTCACTCTGAGGTCTGCTGTGGTCCTAAATAGCCTCAGGCTGAGAATGGTGAGGATGCTGATGATTAGGGTTAGAGGAAGGAAAAGGGTGGGGGAAGTGAGATCTTGCTTATACCTCCCACCTTATTTCTAGGCATTGTCCCTCTTGCTTTGCTCCTTCCATCTTCCTCCTTGGAAGGAGCAGTCTTGAGGCAGGACAGTCTATAAGCTCCTTCTGACTCCTTAGCCTCACAGGTCATTGAGGTAAGAACTTAGAGGAAGGCTTTAAAACACTTCTCATAGGGCTGTTGAAGTATGGGAGAATAGCCTTGTTGAATGGGGTGGACAGGGATGGATTTCCTCATTTTCTACTTCCTAGATTGCTCTGCTTAAGATTCTGCTGGCTGCAGCCCCCACCTCCAAGGCTAAGACAGACTCTATCAATATCCTGGCAGATGTCCTGCCTGAGGAGATGCCGTGAGTGCTTCAGCTGGGGCACCTGCTGAATGTTAGCTGTCTTGTCTGCAGGGTCTCTCTAGTGCCCACCCCACCTTGTTAACACTTACAGGGATTGTCTCCAAAGAGATCGCCCCTCCCCCTCTAGTAGCCCCTTTCCACTGCAGTGCTCTCTGCTATGCTCTTTTTAGCTCTGAATTCAGGGTCTGGAGGGCAACATTAGTACCAGTGACTGGCTGCACAGGTATGTGGGTTGACATTGCCAAGGGATGAGCTTGCCAAAGGAGAGGGAGAAACAAAGAGATCAGAGGAGCTTTTCTCCAGACGGGCTCGTAAGTGGGAACTCCAGAGGTTTTCCTAACACAGAAGTTCAAATTTCCCAAGTTCTGGCTCTCTTGTGTATACTGTATCTGACCCAAATACTTGGGTCCTTGTAAGCCTCTCTCGAAGGCCACCCTCTGTACTGACTCCTCCTCTCCCCATTGTAGTATCACTGTACTTCAGAGCATGAAGCTGGGCATCGATGTGAACAGGCACAAGGAGATCATCGTAAAGAGTATCTCTGCCCTGCTCCTGCTCCTCCTCAAACACTTCAAACTAAACCATATCTACCAGGTGAGCTGCTAGTGTGCTTCTCCACAGATCTCAGGTGTTCTCCAGGCCCTGTCTCCCAAAGGAAGGATACAAGGGCCTTTGTAGTCCAGCTGAGCATCTTTTAGCCCTTTCTTTGTCTCAGTCAGGGAATCCAGATACCTATTGCTCACGGGTGAGGTATGCAGTGGGATGTGGGGAACTGTCCTAGAAAGGTACAGAAGTCTTGTCCTTTTAACACTGTTCGAGGGTTCTGGGTAGGAATCCCTAGCTTCTTGGGAATATGCCTAACCTGATTTGAAGCAATGGAAGACAGGATTCAAGCGTTCCATAAAAAAGGGAGAAAAAACTGTGTTGAGCATACTTTTCTATATGTGAGGCACTTTTCTAACATTTGAGATATAATTCTGAGTAAGGCACGATTCTGGCTCTTAAGGGCTTTGAAGTCTTGTAAAGGATGTGGACATATAAATAGCCAATTATGGAGTGATAAGTGCTGTGATAAAGGTAAGCATTGACTGCTGTGGAAACACCTAATCCAACCTGAGGTGGAGAAGAGGTGCCTTCTAACCTGAGTCCTAAAGAAACAGATGTTAGCCAGGAGATGGGAGTTATCAGGGAAGAAAGACAGGAAGCATTTCAAGCAGAAAAGCTAATTTGTGAAAGTCCCGAGGGGAGAGAGCAAAGTACCTTTGGAAACAAATTAAATGTTGCTGGAGTTCTGCCTGAGGTCAGGGGAGATGGAGAGGTCTGGTGATACATGAAGCTGAAGAGGACAGCAGGGGGCAGATCATAATACATATGATAGCACACAATTATTGGGTACTTATAATGTGCCTGGCACTCTGTTAAGTTCATGTGGGATCTCATTTAATTCTCTCAACCCTACAAGGTAGGTCTTATTTTATCCCTGTTGTGTAGCTGAGGAAACTGAGGCTAAGAAAGGTTAAGAACCTGCTTCCCAGCCCAGAAGCCTTCTGGAGACCATGTATAAATTTAAGTCTGTTTGTAGGTGACAATGGATTGGAGGAGGGAGTGTTCCTTCCTAGGAAACCCCAATGATAAACAACTGATCCTATTAATAAAGTTGCACGTGTTCACTACTAAAAAAAAAAAAAAAAAGTATTTTAAACCATTAGTCCAGGCTCTGAAACCAGACTGACATGGCTGGAATCTCAGCTCTAACACTTACTAGCCACGTAACTTTGGACAAATTGTTGAATCTTTCTAACTCATCTTCCTGTTTTGTAAATTGGGAATAATAATAATGAATGGGGTTGCTGAGAAGATTAAAGAAGTTTAAAGATTTAGAAAAGTGCCCCATATATATAGAGATACTGGCTGTCACTCTGCCAGTTACTGGATACCACCAATCTATTAATTCGTATGCCAGGTAAACTAGTTTCTGTGCCACACTCTTTGGGATGAGAACAAAATCCAAATGCTTCATCATGGTCTACAAGAGAGGTCGGCAGACTTTTTCTGTAAAGGGCCAAGCAGTAAACATTGCAGGCTTTGAGGGCCATGTGGCCTCTACTACTCACCTCTGCCCTTGTGTCCTGGAAGCAGCCACAGGTGACATGGAAATGAATGAGTGTGGCTAGGTGCCAATAAAACTTTATTTATAGAAAAAAAAAAAGAACCTACTTCCCAGGAAGGCATTGTTTGCCATGCTAAGCAGTTTGGTCTTGGTGCTGTGGGCATTTCCAAGATATAGGGGAAGATGGGGGCGCAGTGAATAGATGGTCTCTGTGGTGAGACCATGGGGAGGAGAGCGAGGCTTCTCATTCCTGCCCAGAGGCTGTGCCCCATTTTCCTCCTAAGAAGTCAGAACCGAGCTTGCTGGTAGAAGAGCAGGTCCTCAGAATGCAGGGAGACCCCTGCAAGGTCTGTGCCCATGGCAGGTTTTACTATACAGCCAGGGTGTTTTTTCACAGTAGTTCATTCAAAGACATCTTTGGGTGTGTTAGGGTGTCCTGGGCTCTCATACTTCTGCCACTGTTTGCTGAGCAGCAGCAGGGCTGGGAGGAGTAGGGGTGGGTGAGAGATAGTGTTCCTAGTAGAAAGAACAGAGAGCTGTGGATGTGTGTTTCTGTTTGCTTCTCTTGGTGGGCAGTATGTGGATCAACAGCCAGAGAGGTGGGTGGCTTGATGGGCCTTGCTAGTGTGTGTCAGTGTCAGTGAATCCTGAGAAGGATACAGACACATTTCAAACTGAAAAACATTTTCCATCATCTGATAGTGGATATGTATCAGCTCCTCCTTCTGAGGCTTTGGAAAATACTCTAGGTCAGCTGCCAGGGAGAAAATATTTGAGCAGAAGAGGAAAATGGGCAGCACAAGCTGACTGCCTACCCCTAACCACACACCCAGGGGCAGAGTGCAGCTTAGCTCACTGCCATGGCTACTTCCTGGTGATCAGGAAGAGCTAATGGATTTAAAACACCACAATTTTCTGCTTTTTCAACCCAGTTTCTGTACTGCCCCAGGAGTCTAGATTCTGAATCTAGAGACAAACTGTGTCTGAGTCTCCTCAGTGTATCATGGGCAAAATTCAGGTGATGCAACTCCATGATTCTTGATCACTAGGTCTTTCTGGACACAAACCCCATCCAGATTGAAGAGAGCAAAATGGAACCCCTATGTTCTGGTATTTAGCCCGTCAAAGAGATCTTGGACTTGTTCTCAGTGCAGTGTCTGTTGACTGAAGGGCTACTGTTGATTCATTCATTAAAATACTGATATTCTAAGTATGGGGGGTAATACAGTGAACCAGACAGACTCATGCTGGAGCCCACATTTCAGTGTTTGATTTGGTTACTGTGTGGCCATGTCCATCCTGACTGAGTGATGCCAGCAGTTGCCAGGAGTAAGCTGCACCTGTTCCTCTATATCAATCTCAGTTGAAGCAGTATGAGCCAGAGATTTGGTATGGAAGACAGCTCCCTCAGGGAGCCTTCCTTTCCTGTTGAGCTTAGGAACAAATCTCACAGCAGTTTTTTCTATTTATCTGGAACAGAATTTTCTTTGTGGTTTGTTTATGTTTTGTGCTTTTGGTCAGGCACCTGCAACATACACACACTGCAGATTGTCCCCCTCCGTGTAGGATGGGCTGATGAAGATTATTCTCCCCAGACTGATAACACAAGTGGACAGTGGATAGTCTTAGGAATGGAATTAATTTGTACTTGCCGCCCTTTTTTTCACACATACGTTCTGTTCTCCCCCAAATAAACAGCCCTTTCTGCTTTGATCTTTTAATTTAGTTTGAATATGTATCACAACATTTGGTATTTGCCAACTGCATTCCATTGATCCTGAAGTTCTTCAATCAAAATATCTTGTCCTACATCACTGCCAAAAACAGGTATGGACTCTGGACAGGTTTATTTCAAAGAGCTGGGATGGTTGAGAAAGTTACATCATCTCTGAGCCTGTCAGTTCTCCTGGTGTCCCTAGTCCCTGCTTTCTTAGAGTGGTTGCTGTTAAATTTAATTTCCTTGAAGTGGTAGCTGATGGAGTATATGGTTTTTGCCTCTTCACAGAGGTGTTTGTATTTTAATAGTTTTGAAAACTGACAAATGTCATGACTCAAAGAAATGAAACTGCAACAATGACATTTTCTTCCTATGACAGAAGCATCCAGAAGATGTTTTTTATGAAACAGCCTGCTTGTCCAGCCCTAATCTTAGTATGTCATAAATTGGATCAATTAATTATACTACTTTGTAAACTGTCAAGTGTTTAAAGAATTTGTAAGTGAAGGTAAATAATAGACCCTTACTTAGATAGATCAATTGGTAGTTTAAAAAAATAGTGCTTTCACATCCATTATTTCATTTAATCTCCTCAGCGGTATAAAGAGGTATTACAATAGTTTTATTCTCATTTTACCAATTAGGAAAGATTCAGAGAGGTTAATCGACTTGCTCAAGATTGACATACTAGCGAGACTCATTAAGTAAGCAGCAGAGGCAGGATCAAAACATGAATTGCTTTCTGATCACCACTACTGTGAATACAAATTGATTTCCACTCCTCCAGCCAACTGGGGATTTGAAAGGTTGGAGTAGATCCTTGTTCTTTAGTTTGGTTCTTCCATGACAACTAGAACCATGCTAATCAGAGTTTACCAGAAGTGCTTTACCAAAGGCAAAGTTCCTAAAGTAGAAGAAGGCTAATCTGATCCTTGGGGTGACTGGAGAGGGGCTAGGAGATGTTGCCTCAGCAGTCTGTCAGTACTGCCTGAAATTCTACCATGGAGAGGCAGCCTACTCACATGTAGTTTAAAACGCACGTGGAACCTAAAGTCATGAGACCTGGATTCTGACCTGGATCTGCCATTTCCTAGCTATGTAATCTCAAGTGAGACACTTTGTTTCTCAACAGTACCTCCTCTGATTATATCATAGAGCTTTTGTAAACATCAGTTAAAATAAACATATATGAGAATGCTTTAAATACTTTTCTGGTTTGTGGAAAGCATTGGAGAATGGCTTTTTTTCCTAACTACACAGAGACTTTTGCCCTTTAAAAATGGCACTTAGACATGCTAGTTGGGTTACCAAGGAAAATGAAAATATAGATCAGGCTGGTAAGGGCTCCAGCTTCATGAAGGTACCTGTGTTCATCAGTCAGCCCTCTTTGTTATAAGTAACCGAAACCAGCTGCATCCGAGACCCTCTGCATCCATGGGCCTGAGGGGTGGGGGTGGGGGGCATACAATCCAATAGGTGTCCATTGGGTTCAATTTGGAGTTGGAAGAGTGCCAGACCACCATTTGCTAAGGTTGGCCTGGATGAGATGATCCTCTTGTACACCACCTGTAAGCTTTACTGTTGCATGATCCCTGAGGACTTGGAGCACCCACAGCTCGGTTTGGCTTGGTTTCCTCATGGCTCTTACAGTTTAAATATTCTAGAAAATTATTTTATGCCCCCTTAGGCTAGATTTAAGTTCACTGAGATTGGAACGATTCCATCTTTGATTTCCCTCCCCCGTTTCCTAATCAACAGCATCTACTTTGCCATGGGGCTTTGTCAGTGGGAAGTAGGTAAATAAGTGGATAAGCCAGCCAAGAATGTTTATCCTAATGGGGCAGTGCAGAATTGGCAACCCTGGGAGAATCTAGCAGTCAATTAAAATGATAAGCAACATTATAGGTAGATCCACTGCCCTCTCCTCTCCTACCCTGGTTCCCCTAGGTTATCTTTGTGGGTTTCTTGGATAGAGGTAAGCATTTCTGGCCAAATAAATTGTTAACCTTTTGCTTGGATAGAAGTTTTGACTTTCGAAATGTAGAGACAGATCCAAGGAATCCCATACTCCTCTTTATAGCCCCTGTTTTGCCAACATCCTCTATCCGCTTCCAACTGTTCTAGTTCAGATAGATTGGTGTTTAAAACCTCATGGAGTGTCGGAAACAGAAGGAGCATTAGAGATTAGCTAGTCTAAATTCTGCATTGTACCAGTGAAGAGGGCAGAAGGGGAAAGAGAGAGAGTTGTCATTTTGAGTAACTGTGTCCCTGTCATCATGTGGTGCCTTGTTTCCCCTACTGACTCATGCCTGCTTCCCTGGGCTCACCACAGAGCCTCCAGCTCCCTTGTAGTCCTCCACTGTCAGTTTTGGGTGCAGACACTATTACCATTCTTTTTTTTTTTTTTTTGGAGGAAGATTAGCCCTGAGCTAACATCCACTGCCAATCCTCTTTTTGCTGAGGAAGACTGGCCCTGAGCTAACATCCCTGCCCATCTTCCTCTGCTTTATATGTGGGATGCCTACCACAGTATGGTTTGCCAAGTGGTGCCATGTCTGCACCCGGGATCCAAACTGGTGAACTCCAGGCCGCTGAAGCGGAACGTGCACACTTAACTGCTGTGCCACCAGGCCGGCCCCAGCTATTACCATTCTTGAGCTACTAGACAACCCCTACTGTAGAAACCTGCCTCTTTTTCAAGTTTCCTTTAGGAGTGCCTTCTATGATCATTCCCCAGAGCTCCTGGCTTTCAGAAACATCTGGGAAGAGACACAGGAGAGGTCTTTTTTTTCATCCTCACATCTACAGATTGTTATTAAGTGGGATAAGTTTGGGCAACATCTCTGGGAACATAGTTATATTCATGCATACACACAAGCATTCAGTTAAATGCAGAAACAAAAACGCACACAAGTTTACATATTCCTTTGAAGAAGGGAGGAGAAAGTGGCTAAATAGAGGCTCTTTCTGCTCTCTTTTGCATCTGTCAGATAGGGGCCAGCCTGAAAGAACTCTCTTGGTTCCTCTCATGACTATGAGGAGAGGAGATTAGAGCTAGAGTTGCCTGGCACCAGAACCCTCAGTTTCAGCTGAGATCACTAAAGCAATTTGGGAAATAGATGGGGTCTGCTGGAGAGAAATAACTCCTGCCCTTTCAGATAGAGCCGTTTCTTGCCATTGCCATTTACCTAAAGCCTGTCCTTATCTCTGCATCTTGCAGCATCTCAGTCCTGGATTACCCTTGCTGTACCATCCAGGATTTGCCGGAGCTTACTACAGAGAGTCTGGTAAGCAGATGGGGATTTGGTAGCCTTTGAAATTGCCAGGTGGCAGAGGCTGGCATTTGCTCTTCCATTTCTTCTCCAGCCCCATAATGCCCTAGTCTGGGAGTCTTAGATCACTAAAGGCATATTGGCCAGAGCACAGAGGCAGTAGAGATTTAGAGCTGCTGACCCACTTAAGAAAGATTTGGAAAAGCTGAGCATAGCATTTTGCAGAGAAGAGAAAGGGGTCAGTGAAAAACACTCAGGAGGAGAAGGAATTTAGAAAGATAATGGGACTGAAATTAAACGTGAACATCTGTGCTAAATGGCAGGAGAATCTCCTAGTCTATCCCAAACAATCATCTGTCTTCTTTCTTCTGTGCTACAGGCTATTCACTTTCCATTTTCTTATAAATTACAAAACCCAGGAGTGTGTGCTTCAGAAAATACCTTGCCTAAGTCTCCTTGAGGCAAAAGTCAATATAGCCACAGAAAGATGACCCAGAAAGTTCCTCTTCTTGGAAACAGCTCTAGGCAAATCAGAAAGGTCCCTCAGAGTTATTCTGAATTCCATAAAACTGACTAATCAATAGCATGTTGGAGATCAAGTGTCTACTTCATCATGTATTCCCAAAGCTCCTTAGATGTACCTCAGTCCATAGTCTCACTGTGTTGCATTGTAATCATTTATCTGTATCTGTTTCTCATTTGACTAAAAACTCCTTGAATGAAGGAAGAAATGGTATCATGTTCATTTTTATATCCTCAGAGTCTAGCACTATGTTTGGTATGTGGAAGGAGTTCAATAAATGCTGAATGATCAGATCATGGCACCCATGTGTGCCACCACTCTTTGTTCCCCAACATTAGTACCTGCAAAATGTTGTGTCAGAAAAGTATATTATGCAAAAATAGAATAATACTTTCTGTGGTACAAGTTTTATAGAACCATAGAATCCTTGGCTGGAGGGGACCCGATACCCATTTGGCCCAACCCCCTATTTCAAAGATGAGAAACCTGAGGGCCCAGTGGCTGAAGTGACTTGTTATGGTCCACTCCCCATAGATGACACACCCTGAATTAGAGTAAGACCCATGTCCTGAGACACTAAGTCCTAGCACCCTTTTTAGCACCAGGGCAGAGTTTCCTGTCTTATTTAGATGTCATCTCAGCAACCAAGGAAGCTGGGGGCTTCCTCTCTCTACAGAGAGAGGTAATAAGTTGTCCAACCCTGTTTATGTACATGATGTTATTCAACGCTTACAACAACTGTGTGAGGTTGGTAATCCTGTTTTATAGACAGAGAAGTTAAATAATTGCCAAAACCTTACTTTTGAAAGTAGCAGAGCCAGGATGGAGACATGCGTCCCTGCCATTCAGAGTTGGAATGAGCAAGGGACTTTCTCACAGAAACAGTGGTACACAGCATTAAAATTCTGCTATTAGTAGGGTATTTCAAAACATGAAGTCAGCTTTTATGGCTTGAATCTATTTCTTGATACAATGTGTTCTCTTTTCTCAATCTCATATGTAGGAATTGATGAGAACTACACTTTCATATCTTTTCAAATTGACCTTTTGGAATATCAGCATAAAATTATTGAAATAATTGTTATGCTTCTGAGAAGACTTCATTATCATCCAAGATTGGGGGAAAGCGTGTATCTATGCTTAATAAAAAACAAATTCGTGCTAGGTATTCCTGTCCTTTCTCTGAAGCAATAGTGGCACCTGGTGGTTTCATTTGGTAAATGCAGATTTTTTTTCCTTGAACTTAAAATATACCTACTTCCCTGAGCCCAATCATGGGCTTAAGTAACTAGCAAGTTTAGTCCACATAGGTCCTCAATATAATGGTTTGTTTATCTAAACTGATGGCTTCTGTACTCACAAAAGACTAATGTTTGTATAAGTAAAATTTATCTCTTTTTCAGGCTCAGTGAATTAATTGTAAACACAGAAAATGTACTGGTTTTTTGTATAGGGTTTTCTTCAAATAACATTTCAAGTTTTCCTCCTGAATATAAAATTGATATATAGTATTGCAGGAAATTGGAGAAATATAGAAAAATATGGGGAGGAAAATAAAAATACCATAATTATACTACCTACATATAACTGCTATTAATATTTTGCTGCAATTACCATATATATGTATATGTTCATTCATATATATATACACACACACACAAATACATATCATTTAAGAAAATGAGGACTTTATATATGTTTCAGTTCACATAGTAAAATTTAAATGTTCACAATATGATTTTAAACATTCTTGAGAACATAACTTTTAATAGTTACACATAATATTCCACAATTTAATTTTTTAAAACAGTTGTTTTCAGGGCTGGCCCAGTGGCATAGTAGTTAAGTTCACACACTCCACTTTGGTGGCCTGGAGTTTGCAGGTTCAGATCCCAGACACGGACCTAACACCACTTGTCAAGCCATGCTGTGGCGGCATCCCACATAAGATAGAGGAAGATTGGCACAGATGTTAGCCCAGCAACAATCTTCCTCAAGTAAAAGAAGACAAGAAAGAGGAAGATTGGCAACAGATATTAGCTCAGGGCCAAACTTCCTCACAAAAAAACAAAAAAATTATTGTTTTCTACTATTGTTGGGCATTTACTTCAGTTTTCTCTGTATAACTCCAACATGAACATCCTTGCACATGAATCTTTGACCTCATCTCTGATTATTCCCTTAAGATAGATTCCTAGAAGTGGAATTACTTGGCTGAGGTGGTATTGATTCATATTTTCTCGGTTTTCTGAATCTGAACTGAATTCAATTTCATTTGGAACTCCAGCTGTACATATAATGGACATGAAATAAAGACAAAGTTAACAATACATTAACTTCTAAAGTCTTCCCATTTTGTTAAAATGTTTAACTCTACAATAGGCCATCCTTACCTGTGTACTGAACGGTTTCCCCACCCACCTGTGGTGTAGGAGGGCTTACAACTTCTGGATCTCCAAATGTCTATATTCAAATTCAACCCACTAAACTAGGAAAAAATTAAAATTAAATTCTAAACGTAAGGGAAGGATTGTGAATGTATGATTGTGTGGAAGTTAGGTATGGTCTTTGGAAGGAGGTTGCTAGAGAAGGCAGTAGGTATGGCCTCAGCAAGTATTGTAGAATGCTCAGCATCTGGGTGGTTGTTTAGAGCAGTGGTGTGAAAAGTAGGGTGTGCAAGGTGATGCTTTGGAAGATGAAGTATACTACATCTTTTATATGTACTAATATCCTTTTTACTTTCTATATATGTTAGAACACACCTATCGTTATTTAACAATCCATTTATAATTTATAAGTAAACATGCATGTATTTGGGAATATACACAAAAATTATTTATTGAGAGATATATGCAATAAAAAAAAGTTTAGAAACCACTGCTTTAGAGTATGGTGAAATGAGATTAAGGTTGTAGGTCTGTTGTCATTGTGGGCCTGTTGGCTCTAAAGAGAAATCATGCATTCTCCTTTCCTCTCCTATTTATAAAGGTTTGGGCCAAAAAAAGTGGAAAATTCTGTGTAAATCTATTGTCATTCCTGCAAAGCCAACTGCAAAGCAAGTTCAAAATGCTTGTTTTTTTCTACAGAATGTGATTTAATAACAGCAGCATCACATACAAAGGAGGTATATTTTGAACAACGTGGATGCTCAAGTAGTTGTGAAGATTAAAGGTGGAGGAATGAGAAAAAGTAGTATTTGTGGAATCATTAAATACCAGAGCTAGAAGTTTCTTAGTCAGTGTCTTGCTCAGACACACCCTTTACTGATGAGGAAACAGATGAAGTGGTGAAGTGTTGTCCAAAGCCTTATAGCTAGGTAGAATGAAAGTAGTGGGCCAGAATTTACTTGACGTAGCCATTTGCAAAGAAATCTTTGGCATTTCCTTTTATATCTAGGCAAGTGAAACTATTAAGTTAATTTTAAAAAGCTAGTTCCTTGCAAAATTCCTCAAACTTGGGTTTGATTTATATTCAGAAAGACCTATAAAAATATGTTCTGTTACTTAAATTTATATACCTGATGCTTTCATCTATTTTTGTTAAATTTAGTTTTTATGACTTCTTAATCCAGACATCTCAGAAGATTTTTGTTATTATTATTTTGGTTTTATTTTCTTTTTGGGATATAATCATTATGTTCAAGTATTAAGGTCTCTAGCATTCCTTTCAGGCATTATTTAACAATGATTTGTAACCTCTTAAATAAATATAATCTTTGTTCTGACAATTATCATCACTATTTAAAAACCAATAATGCTTTTAGCATTATTAGCATTATTGTTTCTCTATCCTAGATATAATGTGAACACATTATAAGGTATATGTTCAGGGCCTGCCCGGTGGTGCAGTGGTTAAGTTCGCACACTCCACTTTGATGGCCCAGGATTCGCCAGTTTGGATCCCAGGTGCGGACCTACGTACCACTTATCAAGCCATGCTGTGGCAGGCATCCCACATATAAAATAGAGGAAGATGGGCATGGATGTTAGCTCAGGGCCAATCTTCCTCAGCAAAAGAAGAGGAGGATTGGCGATAGATGTTAGCTCAGGGCTAATCTTCCCCCGAAAAAAGGTATATATTCATTTTCCATGGGTATTTATACAGAGGAAGGATCATGGATAAATATTTTTTAGCATTTTATCAATTTTCCTGTTAGTCACCATTTCTGTGATGAATGCTAAAGGAGATTAGAATCTCTGGGGTGATTTTTCAAATCACATGCCCAGGTCTCTCCCCAGGGCACAAGTAGTTTGCTAAAGCTCCCCAAATGATTTTGAGATTTTCCTTTCTCCTTCCTTACCCCTTCATTCCACTTGAGAATCATAACTGTCTTTTATGATATCTAAATCTAGGTCTTTAATTGTCAGAAATCCATATGATAAAGGAATTATTCTATAATGATGTGGAAAAAGAAAATCTAAGCTGAAAGTATGACTTCATTTTTGGTTATGTGAACCATAATAAAGAAATGAATCAAAAGAATCATTTACTGAGAAATGGCTATGTGAATTTTCAACCAGTAACTACTAAAACCTAGCAAATGTTTTTGCATATAATTCCAAATTTTTCCAGAGCTGACATGGCATGGAAAACCTTAAGCCTAGAGCAAAGAAATAGACTAGTTTGTAGTATTGAAAACAGAGACAGACCTGGCTTTGCCACTTCAGCTCAAAGTGATCTGGAGCAGATTTTCTGTAAGCTGTAAAAGTTTCATCTGTAAAAGGAAGAGAGGTTGGACCATTAGATAAGCGTCAACTTCAAGGAAAGTAAAGGACTGTAAAGTTCATTATAAAATAACCAAGTTAATATTAATAATTTTGATTTCTCAGCAAAGAGCTGGTTTTCAATCTGAAAATAATAATCATCACTTAGGGACTTTAATAGGCTATTGAGAACGTTTGAGATAGATTTAACACTTAGCAAGGCTCTTTAAAGGTTCACTCTGATCATAGGCTGACTGAAGTCAGATGCTCCCCTTTAAAGCAGGAAACCTCACTATTTTTTGTTGTTATTTTTCCTGGAAACTGTTATCTTCTGCTTGTTTGAGGTAAGAATTATAATAGGACATAAGAAAGAACTTCTCTTCCGTTAGCTCTTCAAGAAGCTGAGAAAGCAGGGGATCAAACCAATTTTTCTGTCAGGAATCACCTTCTCTGCCTAGGATTCCAGAAGTGCAATGAGAAGATGAACAGTGCGTTAAGATAGAGTATTAGAAGTCAGTGAGTACTGGAGATCTAGGTTCAAGCTCTGGTTGGGGCACTTATCATGTGACCTTGGGCAAGCCTCTTCCCCTCTCTGGCCACAGCTTTTGGTTCTGTGGATGACAGAATTACACTAGAACAGCAAGTCCCCTCTAGTGCTCAGATTCTAACCCATCAGATTTCCTCATACAAAGGAAGAAGCACTCTGTTCTTTCTGCAGTCATCTGAGTTAATTATCCACATAATTGGCGTAAGCCTGGATATTTATTTGGCTTGGCTTACCCAGCTGGGCTATGGATGGATCTTTGAGAACAGAACCCTTGTAGTGCCTTAGAGATGCTCTGAAAGGGTAGGATGTGTTCCCTTAATTGAATCTTTAGACCCAAGGTATATGCAAACAAGTATTTATTTGTGAGAGTGGAACATGGGCAAATGTTTTCTTTTTTAACGTTAGCTTAGAAAGTGAGTAAAGGTCTTCCTTTAGATAGTGTAAAGTACCAGGAACAAGAGAATGTGGCCAAGTGCTGCTGTTCGCAAAATACATCTCTCCACAGAAGTTTATATCTTATTTAATATGCTGAGTCTTGCCAAAAAAAAAAGGAGAGAAAGAAGTTGACCTGCCTTAAAATGAACATAAGCAAAAAGAAAAAAATGCTCCAGTTTGGCAAATCTGAAAAGGCACCTATGGAGCTAAAGGCCTGCTGGGAAAATGATTATGTATCTGTTGTGTTGGAAGAAGGCAGAAAGCTTGAGCAGGGCTCCACGTAGAGCCTGCTGCTGCGAGCAAAGGAGACAACAAGCCTGGGCTCAGCTATCCTGAGAGAGCCAGTGACCAGCACATGTGCTTTCAGTGCCCACTCTAGGCAGCATCTGGTGGTGCAAGAAGTAGGGCTAGTTCTAGTTATCCGGGAAGTGTTATCAGAAAGAAAGGAGAGCAAGGCCCTGGGCAGGTAAGACTGTCTTCAGGAGGGAACTGGGGTGTCGTTCCTAGGACTCTTAAGACTGAACTCTGAGGAAAAAGGAGCCAACATCAGCTTACTCTCACTCAAAACTTCACTTTTGAACCACCTGGAAAATGTTGCAGTAAATCACAGAATTATTGAATGGTCAGAGCTAATTGGATCTTAGAGATTATCGAGTTCAACCTCTTATAGGAAACTGGGAAAAATGACTTGCCTAGGATCATACAGCCAGGGCTAAAGCCATAATCCAGGTGTCCTGATGCCTGCTCCATTGTTTCTTCAACAAGGCCGTGCCTTGACTCACATATTATTAAAGAGGTGCTAGAGAATACAAGGCTTTTTAAGCTGCTGTCATATTAGAAATCAAGATAAAAGAAGCTCACAGTGAAAATATTTGTACCTCTCCCATGTGTTTTTTGTTTCCCTTACTTCTTTTAAAAAAAATAAACATTTAAGTCTGTCTCTTCTTATAGCCACACAAGGTGTAACGTCTATAGGGCCTGCACTGTTTTAGGCAAGCCAAACTAGCTGATGCACTAGTGGAAACTCCCATGGAAGTTTTCCTTAGAAGGAAACAAATGGTCCTCCTAGGACTAGTTCTAAACACAATATTGAACATTTACTACAAGAAGGAAAACATTATTTCTAAATATATTTCTAAAAAGTTTCCCTGAAACTTTTTTTTTAAGATTTTATTTTTCCTTTTTCTCCCCAAAGCCCTCTGGTACATAGTTGCATATTTTTAGTTGTGAGTCCTCCTAGTTGTGGCATGGGGGATACTGCCTCAGCATGGCCGTGTCCACGCCCAGGATCTGAACCGGCAAAACCCTGGGCCGCCAAAGTGGAGCATGCTAACTTAGCCACTTGGCTATGGGGCCGGCCCCTCCCTGAAACTTTTTGACCCTTAGTCTTATTTATTACTTAGAAGAGCCTGATACTTTCAAAAATCTTGGATGTTCATTCCACATTAGATGTATGCCTGTCTTGCTTGCTTCAAATTACTTTGAGAGAGGAGGGATTAATTTTCCATTCATCAGACAGCAGCTCACTTCTACACGTCTCCTACTCCTACATTCTCCTATCACATTGTAGACATGAGGAATTTCCAAGATGTTAGTTTGGCCACCATGTGTGCTCATTGACTTATGTAGCTTCTGATACCAGTATGTATTTACAGCCTGCCAAATCCATAAAGACTCTTATTTTTGTCCCTAAAAGATGTTTCTATGAATAGATACCTGTTTCTAATCTGACCTCCATCTGTTATCTCTAGTCGGGTGTGCACAAGCTATCAAGAAACATACAAGAGAAACATCTGGTTAGAATTAACTATCTGCCATTTTTCCTTCCATGCTGGAGACTTAAGCACTTTACTGCAATATGGTCTGATAAAGGAGGGTGGGGGTTGATTAAAAAAATTCAACCATAATGAATGTCAGATCCATCCAATATAGTTTGAAATCACCAGAAAAACTCCTAGCAGCTACCAACATAGCTTATATAAGTGCAAAGTATGGGGGGTAAAATTCTGTCGTCTCTTTTCTGATCCTAAAGCAGAAAGCTGCACAAGAAACCTTGCTTGAATGAAGTTCCTATGTTCATGTACCATCTTTCTAGTTAGTACTTGCTCTAGGTACAGAGTGTTCCAGGATTGGCAGCTGTGTTTTCAGATGAGGGATATTGCATGCTTGGAGGCCTCAATGTGTTGAGAATAAGATGGTGAAGGGGTAGCATTTCATATAGAAGGCCTCACCTAAACAGACCAACAGTGACTTCCAGCCTTCTGTGGGGATAAAAGCCTTGTAGGTGTTAAGATAATGATGGGCATGCCTTATTACAGGAAGCTGGAGACAACAATCAGTTCTGTTGGAGGAACCTCTTTTCCTGCATCAACCTTCTGAGGCTGCTCAATAAACTGACCAAATGGAAGCATTCCAGAACCATGGTAAGTGGGACTTCAGATCAGGGGGGTATCCATCTGATTGAATTATTTTAATCTTTAGTAAATTTTTATGGACTTTCTGCTTTATGAGCTCTATAGATAGACACTGAATAATGTATAAGATTATACACCTCCTAATTCTGGGTACTTATTCTATGTGAGATAATTATTCACCAGTTCATTTCTTTTCAGGGAGCTGAATATGGACCCTCCCTCAGGGCATCTCTGGTAGAGAAGTTAGCATTGTTATTTGGATTATAGTCACACATCCCAAATGATACAAGTCTAAGATTATTCATTACAGCATTGTTTGTAATCATAAAAGATTGGAAACAATCTAAATGCTCTGCTCATTAATACTGGACTAACTGGTTAAATAATTTATGGTGCATCCTTAGAATATTATACAACCATTAAAAAGAATGAGGCAGTTCTATACTGCTAGGGAATAGTTTTCAAGATATATTGTTAAATGAAAAGCAAGGTATGGAATTATTTGACAGGATATGTAGTTGGCTATCATTTTTGTTAATAAAAGTAACATATGTATACATAGAATTATCTCCAGAAGATACACAAGAAACTGGTAATAGTGGAAATGGCATGTGTGGCTGACAAAACTTTTTGCACTTTATCATGAACTTTGAATATTAGAAACTTTATATTGAGAAATATAAATGGAGTCATTCCTCTATGTTTTTGAAGACTAAATCTAAGTAGAGCCTGGCCCATAGATTCCCAAAAGCTCCCCAGGGTATTCTGAAGACATCCAGGTTTGGCTTATTTTGTCTGTGAGTTAGAAGTTCCAAGAAACTTTAGATCTTTGTCTGCCTTTCTTCACTCCCACCCCTCTTTAAATGGGCAGATGCTGGTGGTGTTTAAGTCTGCTCCAATCTTAAAGCGGGCCCTCAAGGTGAAGCAGGCCATGCTGCAACTTTATGTCCTGAAACTGCTAAAAATACAGACCAAGTACCTGGGGCGCCAGTGGAGGAAAAGCAACATGAAAACCATGTCAGCCATTTACCAGAAAGTACGTCACCGCATGAATGATGACTGGGCTTACGGGAATGGTGAGTACTCTGAGAGCTCTTGACCTCCAGGAGATGCCCGGGGTTTAAACAAAACTAAATAAACATTTATCTATACTCTTTTGGTATGAATTGTTACATATTTTGGATGAGAAAATATGTGATTATAGTCAGGTGCTGATATGACAAACCTTAAACCTTAAGGCACTGCCCCAAATTCCAGCATGTACCCTGTCCTATGTAAACTATGAAAATCCATTTTATAAAACAAGTAAATTGAGGGACAATTACCGCCTTTCCAAGATACTCCCTTAAGCGGCATGTTTCTCCAGACATTTTTAAAATTAAAATAAGCTTTTATTATTACAGAGCAGTTAGAAAATATAAGCAAACATTTTACTATATTACTATATTTATACCATATTTGTATCACCCAAAGATTGCCGGTTAACATCTTATTGTATATTCTTTCAGATCTTTTTCTATATATATATACATATACACACATTTTATTAAAGTGAAAGCAAATTGTACATGCTATTACATAATCTTCTCTTTTCAGTTAACATTATCTCCACCTTTCCATATCAGTCTGTTTTCATTTTATCTAAAAATCAAGTCAATATTCCAATCCCCTAGTTGCCCAAAATGTTATTTAAAGCTATTTCTTTTTTTAAGATTTTAGTTTTTCCTTTTTCTCCCCAAAGCCCCCCGGTACATAGTTGTATATTCTTTGTTGTGGGTCCTTCTAGTTGTGGCATGTGGGACGCTGCCTCAGCGTGGTTTGATGAGCAGTGCTATGTCCGCACCCAGGATTCGAACCAACGAAACACTGGGCCGCCTGCAGCGGAGCGCGCGAACTTAACCACTCAGCCACGGGGCCAGCCCCTTAAAGCTATTTTTTCCAAGTCATAATCCAACCCAAGACCACACATTCAATCTGGTTGTTATATTCTTTTATTCATTTTCAATCTAGTGGTCTTTTTTTATTTTTCCCCCTAACTGACTAATTGAAGGACTAGACCAGTGGTCCTGCAAAATATCTGTCTTCTGGATTTGTCTGCTTGCTTCTTTACGGTGTCATTTACCTTATTCCTCTATCTCTAGTATTACCTGAAAACTGAAAGTTAGATCTAAAGGTTTGGTGAATTCAGTTTGAACCTTTTTAGCTATAGTACATTCTAAGTAATGTTGGGAACTGCATATTGCCTCATATCAGGAGACATTATATTTGGTTGCCCTATCAAGACCTTGTAGATTGACCTGAGAGTTTGGAAGAATTTAGTTTGGAGAGCTTTTTCATTATATTGACACTTTTTGTAGTGAGATTTGACTATTATTTACCTAATTGTATTTAAGAGTTTTTCGTAAAATGACTAATGACTTTGTCTTTGCTGGGATTTGTAACCTGCCTGGATTTTAGAGGATGCTACAGTAAAGAACTCAGAGAACTAAGGGAAGTATATGATTGGCAGATAACAAGCCAACATACTACTTCTACTATAAGACATAAAGCACGATTAACTATTTAAATTCTTATAGATTTTTAAAACATGAAAATGTTTTATCCTGAAAATGGCACATCTGCTGTTGCCTCCATCATGAGCCCAAACCCAAACTGTACTTCCTTATGATAAACCATTGAGTGTGGGACATAAGTGATCTGGGAAATATCTGTCTCTAGCCCTGAAATAAGTGCCAAAGTGGGATAAGTAGAAGCAAAGCAAATTATCCGTTTTCTGTTTTTCTCTCTGTGGAAGTCTTCACCTCATAATCTCAACATAAGCTGACATATTGATTTACCATGTGCTGGGGGAGGTTCAGGAATCAGGAAAGTCTTCAATAATTGGTCTCTTCTGATTCTCCTTGTTGTACCCCTTCCTGCCTCTTCCCATTCCTTGAGAGCTGGTGATTCTATTCAAATGGGAAACTCCCATCCCCTAGGAAAGCTCAATAAAGGCAATTGAGTTGCCATTTTGGAAAATATAATACATGTAACTAGTAAGAAAGTGAAATAATGAAAAGGAAGTACAATAAAAGAAGTCCTCCCTCAGGGCTACTTTTCCTTCTCAGTGGTAATCACCGTTACCATTTTCTAGACTGCCCTTCCAAAGATATTCCTTGCATATATAAGCATATGTATGTGGTCATGTGCGTATTCTTTAAACCAGAGTGGCAGCATGTTATATACTTACTTTGTACATTGCTCTTTACAAAAAAGGAAATTCTGAGCACTTCCATTGTTGGTATCCCATAGACTATGCTCTGTGGTAAGAGGAGCAGTGTCCTGAATTGTAAACATCTTTTTTTTCCTCTCTTCCCAACACAGACATTGATGCCAGGCCATGGGACTTCCAAGCAGAAGAATGCACCTTGAGAGCCAACATTGAGGCTTTTAACAGCCGCCGGTATGACAGACCCCAGGACTCTGAATTTTCACCTGTGGATAACTGTTTGCAGAGTGTGCTGGGGCAGAGGTTGGATCTGCCTGAGGATTTTCACTATTCCTATGAGCTCTGGCTGGAGAGAGAGGTGTTTTCACAGCCCATCTGTTGGGAGGAGCTGCTCCAGAATCACTGACTGAGCTCTTGTCCACAAAGCATCTGATAGATAGTGGTTGGCTCCAATAAATGGTGCTCTGCCTACTCTCCCCATTCAAACTTTGTTTCTAGCTCTAGGACTGTGCTTGTCCAGGGGAGAGCTGGCCTAACCCAAGGACATCCAGTATAGTTCAGGGACATTCTTGGGGCTCTTGGGCCTGGAGATGGTACAAGGCTAGGATCCTGAGTCAGAACAAATTGATCAACTTGCTGTGGGGTCAGTTGGGTGCCCAGTTGGCCTTGGAAATCTCCTACTGGATCAGTCCTGGACAGGCTTTTTTGTGGAACCACTCCCTGCCTAGAACCAGGCTAGCCTTTGCTTGCCCCAAGAATGAGAATAAGTTTATTATGGGATTTGACCCATGGCATTAATCATAGGTGATGGGAGGTGCAGGTGATAAAATAGGGAGAACATTTTCTCTTGCTCACCCTGGATTCCTAGGACTTACCAGAGGTTTGGCAAAACCAACTTTGAAATTGTCTATATTTAAAATTTAAAATTTTGACACTCACCTTTTCCTAAATTCATTAGCTCTAAGATGATTTTAGAGCACCTGCACCTTCTTTGTGAAAGATGATGATTTATTATTACCTAAATACTGCATGTTATAGAAAGGTATGTTGTGTAAAGTGTTTTTTCTTTATTCCCTAAGAGATCTATGTTCAATGTGAAAATTATTCCTTGTGTACTCTGTATAGGGCATGGAGTGCTCAATATGAAACAGTCAGGCCTCCTCTAAGGATCTTTCATGTTTTGCTGAAACTATTTCAGTCTTAAAATGACTGAGTACACTGCAGAAAATTATCCTTTTCATACAATTCATTTTTTAAATGACAAGTTAACTACAGGAGGTTTTATTTATTGAGGTGGTGTGTCCATTTGTGCTCATGATCGATTTATTTTTTAATTGAATAGAACAGCAAGAGCATCACAGCTTACCATTTTTCTTCTTTTATATTGATTGATTTTTTTTTCCCTTTTTACTGCTGGTGGTTTCAAAGTGTCATGTGGAGATTTAACCTAAAAGTACTGCACATTTCTTTGAAAATATAAGAGTTGATGTACCAACCTTTTTAAGCTTTTCTACAGCAGAATCACATACTTCCTGATAGAAGGTTTTTAGAAAAGTTTCTGATTCAATCAGGATCATTTTATTTGTCTTCTGTCCCCACTATTATATCATCCCTATTTTCAAGCTTTTTTACTTTAAATGCCTCCCACAACGTTGACACTACTGAATCTTTTTTATGATAGCACCAGGCCACTTTAGTTGTGCCAGGAGGTCTAGTCCAAAATGGCTTATTTATTCTGTCCTTTGTCAACCACAGTCTCATTTGGAAGTCATGATAGAGTTACTAATGATATCCAAAGGCACTGTAACAAAACTCTAATTAAAGCTTGGATTTCACCTCTTTGTGCTTTAGGGTAGCAGGCTTTCTGTTTTTATAGAAATGTCATGAAGGATTAAGTATGTAATGGATGAAACTTCTCAGAATAATTTGTAAATTTTACCTGAGTAGGACAGCAGTCCTCGTTACAATCAGAATAATTTACTGAGCATATCATCTATGAACCCTATTAATCTATGATTTTAATGTGATTTGAGTGAAAAGACAATTTTCAAGGAAAGAGCAATCATCAACCCATTTCTTTTAAAGCCACACAGTATTTAGTTTGTGTCAAGAATAAGTTGCCTTTTAAAAAATATGCACATGAATGGTTTCTGAGGCATTGAAGTATGCTAAGCTTTAATATTTCATACTTTTTTACAAATCTTCTCTAAAGGAAGATTGATTCTCAGTACATCTGGAGAAACTGAGGCATCAAGAATAAGTAAGTAGTTTCAAATCACATCATTTTTTCACTGACTTGCTGGGACTAGCATTCAGGTATTGCCAGCCAGCCCCGTATGTTAAGGTAACTGGTTTAAATCTCTCAATTTGAGAACCATGTGTGTGGTTAGGAATAAATTCAGATTAACCAGCCTCCAATGGTGATTACTGTTACTACATAGAAGAACATTATTTGAGTGTTTATATTATAGAGGATTTTTATTTGTAAATATTTCAGTAAAGTTTATGTTGATGGTTGATAACATTGTTTATCTACTGAAGCACTTTAATAAAACAAAATTGAACTGGAGTTAGAAATTTGGTCTTTAAATTCTTCAATACAAGAGAATCTTAAAGACATATTAGATATAGAGAGGAAGGATATCATTAAAGAGAATGAATATATAAGATCTCATATTAGTATTCCCTGGGGGTAGACTAACACAAACAGCTGCGAAATCTCAGTTGACTTATGACAAATCTGTCTTTCTTGTTGATGGGCCTGGGGATCAGCTGCAGCTCTCCTCTGCTCAAGTTAACTTGCTAGATTTAGCTCTGCTGCACACGTCGTCTTAATCTGGCACTAGGCTGATGGAATAGTCCTTACCTGGGACATACTGTTCTCATCATGAAGGGCAGGAGCAAGAGACTAAACCGTACGATGCAGCACATTTAAAGCTCCCGCTTGGATGTGACTTAAGTCAAATGGCGAAAAGCCATTCACAGGGACAAGCCTAACACTGGGCCAGAGAAAGCATGTTCTACCCACAGGGAGGCAGGTGCCACCAGGCATACGGATAGATAGTCACAGCAGCTTCCCAGTGAGCTCTTCAGGTTGGTGGTGGGACTGACTTAGAGATTCTTGAGAATTTCAACAGCTTTCCAGAGCATCTGAAACCACCCATTTCAGTGTTTTATGCTGATATTTTCAGTTTTGGCTTTCTTGACATTCCTTGTCCATAGTCCCCCCAGCTCTTCCACCTAACAATAATCATTGTTATATAAAGATAATCCTATAAATGAGTATCTCGATGGTTTCTGTTTCTCCCCCAAGTAGTTGTGGTGAGTTTGAATTCTTTCCTCTAGACCTTATTGAGATGACCCATATATACAATAAAACTAGCTGAGATTAAGATGCAGCTGTGGTTCTGGAACAAAAGTGACACTGGTTCATACAACAATCAAACTCATGACCTTGATCTCATTGACGCTATAATCGATGAGCTAAGTAACCACCTTAACATCCAGGCTAGGTCTGGTATGAACTTTGCAACTTTTTTGGCACTCCAGGAAGCTGGGTACTAAGTGTGTATTGAGGGTACTTTGCAGAGGCTAAGAAAGGCCTGCCCTTATCACAGAAATAATGGGTACAGCCAATTAGCATCTGCTCTACCTATAATTCTAGGCCAGACTTTTCTGTAAAAGTGTGATAAGAGAATGCTTTCTGTAATAAAAGAATGTTTTACAAAATATAGAATTTAGCTATAAATCTTTGTGAAATACCCAGTAGGTTCTATAGCCGCTAGTAGTATTCTTACATGTGTTTAATACTAATAACGTTTTAATACATGTCTTATATGATCCTTTCAACATAAGAAACATCAAAAATACATTTTAGAGTAAATATGCCTACAGCATGTTTTTATTATCTATACATTAACTATAACCTTTGTCTATTATCTATACATTAAATACAACCACTGGGCCTCCTCCTGCTTTCTCATTTTCTGTAAACCAAAAGAATATAGTGATAGTGAAGAGAATAATTTACCTCCCTTATAATCTCACCACTCAACACTGAGCTATTTATATGGTGGCAGTTTAACAATATAAGGGAATTGTAATCTCTAAAATAGGATAGAACAAAGGAAGAGATCAAAGCTCTGTTTATATTTGCAAAGCATTGTACCGACATGCAAATACTTTTGGAAATGTTGGCATGGGTAATTGGTGATTTTTGGAAAACACGTGAGTTATTTTACTTATCTTTCCACTGGTGAATTTCTAGTAGCCTCTGGTATCCCTTCAGAATTCCTGATCTGGAATGTTTATAGAAGGTAAGTTCTGAGTACCTTATACCTTCAAACACCCTTTCCAGGTGAATGAATTTTCTAAATGTTTGGCTGTTCTAATATCCTTAAAATGTTAAACCTCAATATTTGGAAGCAAATTTTTCTATGGAAATACATTCTTGAGTTGAAAGGGATCTGAGATCATCTAAGCCAATCTCCATCCAATGCAAGAATTCCTTTAATAGCACTCTGATGCTTATCTAGCCTCTAATATTTTTCCTGACAAGAACCTCACTACTTCATAGTGAAATGTCTACAACAGAATTAGTTAAGTACTTCAATACAATCACCTTATGGTATTCTTTAGGTCAGAAGAACCATGAATACATTTATGGAATCCAAAAACCTATCTTTAGCTGTTAGTTGCACTTTTTCCCCCACTGTGTACTTCCTATGGCTGCTGTAACAAGTTACCATAAGTTGGGTGGCTTAAAACAAGAGAAATTTATTCTCTCACAGTTCTGAGGGCCAGAAGTCTGTCAGCAGGACTGCACCCCCTCCTGAGGTTCTAGGGGAGAATCCATTCCTTGACTCTTCCAGCTTCTGAGGGCTCCAGGCATTCCTTGGCCTGTGGCACATCACTCTATTTTCTGTCTTCGTGGTCACATTGCTTCCTTCTCTTCTCTCTCAAAAGTCCCTCTGCCCCTCTCTTAAGGATACATCTTATTGAAGTTAGGGCTCATCAGGATAATCCAGAATAAGCTCCTCCTCTCAAGATCAATAACTTAATTACACTTAATTACAACGTAATATTCACAGGTTCTGAAGATAAGGACATATCTTTCTGGGGGCCGCCATCCAACCCACTAACACTCGTCAAACACCTAACAAATAGCAAAACTGATTCATTTACTCTTCCTCTCTATCATTAGAGGTGTAAGGCGAGACTCAGGGGAAGTTACTTTTATTTGAAAAATGCTTATAGCTATTAATGTAGTCAAAGGAGATTCAAGTAAAGAAAGAACTTCAGGCATGGGTAGAGGATAGGACATAAGGAAGCTGGTGTACAATTGAAGACTACATTTAGATATTTATTGGTATTTTTGTTAAGAAGATACATGTAAAAATTTCAAGTAATTTTTCAGAGTACACAATAGAAAATGTAACCTCCCAGCACAGATTCCTACCTTGTTTCCCAGAAGTAATTACTATCAATATTTTTGGTTTTTATCCTTTCAGAAAATTCCCATGGTAACACCCATCTCCTCCCCACCAACATTTTTTTACACATGTGGGAGCACAATATATTCAGTTCTATACTTTTATCATTTATCCTGGAGACCTGTCTTTCCATATTAATATTCTCATATGACTATAAATTTAATATAGTTAATAATTAAATCATTCTTCCCTAGCACTGCTTTAAAATATTTTCAGCTAGGAAGGAAGGATATAGATGGGAAGGATAGTGTGTGTGTGTGTGCATGCATGTGCACATGTGCATGCACACATGCATGCATGCATATGTGTATGTATGTTGTGGTGGGAATGAGGTTAAGGGAGATTCATTCAGTTCCCATAGCAATAGGCAAAGCAATCTGAAACATAATTTCCCAACAGCAGTTCTTCTGACTATTCAGATTCCCAGATCCTGTAAATGTAATGAGATTGTGCCTGAGTGGGCTGTGGGGAGGTGTTCAGGCTGTTTGTTCCTTTAGTAATTAGCCAGATTTAAATTTTAAAAAACAGGATTTTAAATTTTTACTTTTATGTTATAGAAAAGAAAATAACCAAAATCTTTCTAAGGAACTGCAAGAGTACAAAAATCATCCCACCTCTCTGCTCAGACACCTTTGGTGACAGTGACTTCCTTACTAAATAAGAGCACCATCTGTCCCCTTGCCTCCAAGTGGAAACATTACTTTGAACATTCTGTAACTTTTTGTTCAAATGCTTAATGGAGCTGGCAGAACAAAGATCTTCCATGAGGACACCTATGAAAGTATATCTTCACCTCAAGATACAAGATGTATTACCCAGAAAGGCCATACAACATAATGGTTCAGACTGAGGGTGCTGGACCCAACTTGGTGAGTTCTTATATCCTTGGTGAGTTATTATATCAGCTGTGTGATAAGCGACAAGTTATTTCATCTCTCCTTCATTTCATCATGCCTCAGATTCCTCCTCAGTAAACTTGGGATAATAACACCTACCTTTTAGAGTTGTAAGAATTAAATGAGTCAATATGCATATAGTGCTTAGAATAATGCTTGCTAAACATGAGTGTTCAATAATCGCTGGTTATTACTTCCCACTTCAATCCCCTACCTATTAAGGAATCTTCTAGCAAGAATAATAAATAGCATTGTAATTTTCTAGCTCAGGGATTGGCAAACTACAGCCAAAATCTGACCCACCAACAGTTTTTATACAGCCTATGAGCTAAGAAGGGTTTTTACTTTCTTAAATGGTTGGGAAAAAATCCATAGAAGAAAAATATTTTATGGCACATGAAAATTCTATGAAATTCAAATTTCAGTTTCCATAATAGTTTTATTGCAACACAGCCAGGCTCATTCTTTTGTCTGACTATAAATGCTTTCATTCTACGTCAGCAGAGTTGAGTGGTTGCAAGAGGACATAAGGCCTGCAAAGCAAGAGTTTCACTCTCTGAGTTTGCCAACCCCTGCTTTGGATAATTTCTTCTCCTGAGTCTGCCCTAGCTGGTCTTACTGCACCCCAAGGTTCTCTCTGTGAGGACCCCAGTGGCTGACCAGAAGAAATTACCTACAATGAACATTTCATTTTTTCTGTAACTTCCTCTTCAGTATTAGGGCTGTAATGGGTACAGTGAAAGCAGTGCTATACTGTTGAACTTAATGTGATAAAAAGAAAAAGGAAAGAAGGCAAGCACCCACCACCAGAGTAGGGAGGAAATAGGAATTTTTAAATATAACTTCTAAGAATGATAGTGATAGAATATTCTAAGTTTGAATATTCTAAGAATGTATGCTTCCATTCTGGTAATATTATACTTTTTTTAAAGAACAGCACAGTTAGTGTTACTATTTATAAAGAAGGCATAAGGATGTGCACTCATAAACATAAAATTAACTAATGCTGTTCCAATGTGAGTTTGAATAGTTACCTAAATTTAACATCATCTTCCAGTTTACACAGGAAGGTTTGCTCAGTTCTTGCAGAATAAACAAATCTATCTTACATCCTAAACATTAAGTGATTCTTAGGTGGGCAGGTATTTAAGAAAAATGCATATGTTGTCAATGACATTTTCTTTTGATTCTAACAGTGACGTGAGCTCTGAGTTACAACGAAGTCTGCTTTTCAGCCCCACACCTCGGCAGCCCTCCTCGCCTCCCTGCAGGTCAATGCTAAGGCTGCCTCCAGTGCGAAGGCTGGAGATCCACTTGGTCAATGGAAAATGGTGGTGCAAATGAAGTTGTTCTGATTGTCACTAGAGCGTTCATTTTATGTCCCACCTGTCCACTGACAAAGCATACTTTCTTGTGCTTTATATCTTTCTTTTTCAGCTTTCTTGAGGTATAACTGACAAGTAAAATAATAATATATTTAAAGTGTACAATGTGATGATTTGACATACGTTTACACTATGAAAGGATTCCCACAAGTGAGTTAACGCATCTCTCACCTCACATTCCCCCCACTTTTTTTGGTGAGAACATTTTAAGTTCCACTCTCAGCAAATTTTAATTACACAATACAGTATTATCAACTATAGTCACCATGTTATACATTAGATCCTCACACCTTATTCATCTTATAACCAAAAATTGTAGCCTTTTACCCCAACTCTCCCCACCCCATTTCCCCCACCCCCCAACTTTCTATCTTTTAAAGTAAGGCTTACCGGAAATACTTTGAATTCACAAAGCACTTTCACATTCATTCTATCATTATCACCATTATAGTAAACCACAGGAAAAAAGCGAAGCTCAGAGAGTTGCCCAAAATTGCATAACTAGTAAGCAGTGAGGCTGAGCCTTGAACCCATATCTTCTGGTCTCAAGTCCAGGACACCTTCCTGAATGATTTTAGTGTTGAACACCACAGGTTGGACAGACAGACAGAGCTCGCTTTGACTCTGCTTGTGTGAACTTGGGTGAGTTACTCTCTCTGACCTCATGTGCAAATTGGAGAACATAACAGCTCACACTGGTTATAGTGATATGATAATGCCATGATGTGTGCAAGTGCTCAGCAAGGTGGCTGAAATCAGCCCTCCTTCAACGTTAACTATTATTTGCAGTAAGAAATGATGAAGGTCTAGTCTAAAATGATGAGGATGTCAAGGGAAGGCTTGATACAAGAGAATTTCGAGTGGATGCTCAGACCTTGGACTTATTATTCAAGATGGAGAGAAATGAGGCAGAGGTGACAAAGGGCATTAGACTAGACCAGCATTGCCACGGACAGTGGAAACTTAGAGGCTGACATGAAAGTGAGATGGGTTAAGTCCAGGGAATAATGGGACCTGAGGACTGGAGCTCAGATGGAGCCCATTCTTTCACAACAGAGACTGTGTCATCCCAAGAGAGGTAGTCACCGACATTAGATGAGCCATCATGTGAGGAAACACAGGGAGAATGGCAGAGGGCTGAGAACTGAACTTTGAGATCAGCCAACACTTGGAGTACAGCAAGAGGCAGATAGGCATGAGATGACTAAGTGAGGTCAGGATGAGCAAGGAGTATAGTGCACGTCTCCAAAACAAGTGGGGAGACTTAAGAGAAGGAGGGGAGAGGAGCAACCTTAAGTCAGGCTCAGAGGTCAATGAACGAAGAAGTTGCTGGGCTTGGCAGAATGAAGGGGATAATACTTCCTGCTGAATCATGAAAATTATTCCATTAATGTCTCTCATTACTGCCATGTCGTACAAAGATGAGCCTAAAAGAGGTTGCTCACTGTAGAGAAGAGGAAACAAGTAAACATATCTAACTATGGTCCAGATAAGTGCAATGCCAGAGGCCTAGGCTGACTTTAATGGGCACAAAGCATTCGTAGCGATTAATGAGCTCACAGAGATGGTACAGTTTGTGCTGGGCCTTGAAGGTTGAATAGGCTTTTGACGGGCAAGGAGGAAAAGGCATTCCAGATAAAGGACTGTAAAGCAAAGGCTAGAAGGTATGAGATGCAACAAGTCCCAGAGACTGAGGACTTTGGCAAAAAGAAGGTGTGTAGGGCCAGTGAGAGTAAATAAAGCTAGAAATGCAGATTGAGGCAAGATTTTGAAAGGCCATAAATACCATACCAAGTCTTTACCTTGTTGGAAATAGTCATTGAAAGTTTTTTAAAATGAGTGAGACATGATTAAATCTATGCTTTAGAAAGAGAACCAGGATGGAATGCAGAAGCCTGAGAGATAGCAGGGCCGGTACAGACCTGAACATGGGTGGTGTCTGGGGAACAGGAGAATGAGAGGGCGCAAAGGGTGCCTGGACCCAATTCCAGTGCCTGTGTGTGTGTGTGTGCGTGCGCGTGTGTGTACGCGCGCGCGCACACGTGCTTCTCCCTATCAACAAGCAGTTCTTGGAAACCACTAGGGCGTCTGAGAATTCAACTCAATTCTGGCACTATTTACCCAGAGATAGAATCAGATTCCACAGGTAAAGGGCTCAGTCCCACAGAACGCCCTCCAATTCAGATGCCAGTCACAAGCCCAGGTTGTTACCTGTATGTCTGACCCAATGGCTATAAATCAGAGGTTCCCACACCCACTCCCTGGGTTTGATTAAGTCACTAGAATGGCCCACAGAATTCAGGAAAACCCTTTTATTCACTAGATTACCAATGTATTACAAAGGATACGAATTGAAAGCCAGATAAGAGATACATAGGGCGAGGTCTTGAACAAAGTAACTTTTGTTTGTTTGGTGTTTGTGGAGCTTGGGGCCCTGCACAGTGGTACGAGGAAGTGTTCTGGTTCCTCAACATGGAAGGTTTCTGAAAAAGGGCCGAGGAGCTGTCCTTGTGGGTTTTTATGGAGGTTTCATTATGTAGTTATGATTGACTAAGTCATTGGCCACTGACAATTGATTCAACCCCAAGACTCCCTTCTCCTACCTGGAAACCAGGGGGTGGGACTGAAAGTTCTAATCTTCTGATCACAGGGCTATTTCTCCTGGCAACCAGCCCCCTAACTAGGGTGGGGTCCAAACGTCACCTTCATTAATATAACAAAAGTCACCTTTATGGCTCTCCTCATTTAGGAAATTGAAATTCCCAGGGGTTGGGAGCTGTGACACAGGAATTGTGGACAAAGACCAAATATATATGAGAAATATATTTTGGTCATCTGAATGACCAAATATATACTTCTTATAAATCACAATATCACGGAGGGGAAAAGGGCAGTTCTTTAGAGAGATATGGCTTGACAAGGAGTAAAGGAGGGCACACCAGCAGGTTTGAGCCCGGGTGACTGGACACAGGTGATACCATCCACAGACATAACTCAGGAGGCAGCTCAGGTAGGTGTGGGTGAGAGAAAGCTCTGGATCTGAGGAGAGAGGGAGGCATCAAAGGTGACTAGTTTATAGTTGAGTACCTAGATGGCTGCTGATGCCATTATCCAAAACGAAAAGAGATGCACACTGGCTATGAGAAATGTTCGACTTTAGATATGGTAAGGCTGAGGCTGCTAAGAGCTGACATTTTAAAATCAACTTTATGGAGGTATAATTAATGTATAATAAACCATTCATTTGAAGCATATAATGAATTTTGACAAATGCATACACTTGTGCAGGGCCACCTTCACGGGCATGTGACCAGTGGTCACACAGGATGCTACTCTCAGAAGGGCCCTGTGCTTGGAGTTTAATGCTATGAGTTCTCAGTCTTGAAATTCTTAATAATTTTATGTTTGAATTTGTGTTCTGTGAATGAAATCCAGTGGGACAATGGATGATGTCGGGGGGAGGGGCTTGGAGCCTGAGCTCCTGCTGAGTTTCATCTCCCGTCACTCGCACTCCCAAAACGCCAGCACACGGAGAGAGCAACACATGACATCTCAGCCATCAGGATGCAGGTGCTAAGCATCCCCCAGCACAGATGTTTCGCTTCCTCGGAGGTCACTCATGTGGGGTGGCAGCCTGTGGGAAGGGAAGATACCTGAGAAAAGACGTGTCCTTGTTCCCCAAAACAACATTAACTAGCAAATAAAAACAGCATCATAGATAGGTTGATAGAGACCACAGAAAAAGGCAAAAGTTTGATAACTTAGTACCTTTAGTGGCATTTTTTTCTTATTTCCCCATATTTTCATTTTGCATTGAGCCATGCAAATTATGTAGCCAGTACTGTACTGGTGTAACTACCACCACAATCAAGATGCAGAATTTTTCCATCACACCCAAAGTTTCCTCTTAACCCTTTGCAGAGTCACCCCCCAATCACAGGTCTGCTTTTGAGACAGCTGAATTGGAGGTTCAGGACTCTGGACCGCCAATGTGAAATTCAAGAAAAGCAGGGCTAGAACAGATTTGGGAGTGACCTGGATAGGGGTTAACCTGACAGAGTGGTGATGACTGGAAGAAGTCTAAGCAGGAAGTGTGGGCTGCCCCCATCCAGAAATTAAGAGAGGGGCCAGCAGAGGAGAAAGCCCAGGCAGAGGGCAGGAGATTTGCCACATCAAGCGCATATGGACTCATGAAAAAATTACCAAATGAAAAGTAGCTGGAACTTGGGTTTGCTTTGCTGATGAAGGATTAGGGAAAGCATATATATGAGAACCTGGTACGTAAATACTCCGCTTTGGAAGCCAGGTTATCAATCAAAAGAAGGCAAACAAAAAGCACCTTTTCCTTGCTCCGGGAGGCTTTCAGGACCCCATCCCTGCTTCCCCATTTCAGTCTCCTCCTCCTGCCTTGGGTCTGCAATGTCCTGTCCCCTGATCTTGGCATAGTTGACTATCATCCAAATGTCAGTTTAAAGCTCATCAGAGATACCTTCCCCACTCACCAACCTAAAAAGGCACCCAGCCCTCACATCAGTTTAATACACCCAATGTAAGACACCTGTCACACCTATCATTTTTAATGTCTGCCATGTCACCCGTTTTGACACCCCCCCCCAAAAAAAAACAAAACAAAAAGAACGATGAGTTTGTCTTAATCAGAGCTGAATTCCCAAGGCCTAGAACTGAGTGTCAGGCACATGATACATGCTCGATAACCGCTGTATAAAAAGGAATAAGAGGGCCTGGCCGGGTGGCATAATGGTTAAGTCCACCCGCTCCCCTTAGGTGGCCTGGTTGGTAGCCCAGATCCCAGGCGTGGACCTATACACGGCTTATCAAGCCATACTGTGGCGGAGTCCCACATACAGAATAGAGGAAGACTGGCACAGAGCTTAGCTCAGGGCCAATCTTCCTCACCAAAAATAATTAAAAATAAAAAAAGTTATGAGTCTTAAAAAGGAGTGAGAGTCCTGCTCCCACACCGTGTTCTTCCCCTGCAGGGAGGAGGCGGTCAGGACGAACCCGCAAGGCTGGAAGCGGAACTGCACCCACTCTGTCTTTTCTCGCCTAATCCCACGCGGGATATAAGAACTTCTTTCCAGGCCCTTTTACAAAACATTCTGTAAAGTTTGTACCGTTACAGGCTCTTTTACAAACATTTCCCCCCCACGTTATTCTCACTTCAACCCTCAAAGGCTTTATCTCATTTTCAAAAAAAAGTCATGAGGTCTTCTATGACTTCTCCAAGGCCAGCCAGCGAGCGGTCGAGCGCACACCGGGGTCGGCCCGCTCCACGGCCGGCTCCACCCCCGCCGAGCACCGCCCGCCGCCGGCCCTCGCCGGGTCCCGCGCCCGGACGCCCCAACTTGGACGCCCCAGCGCGGAGCGGGGCTCTGCGCTCGCAGCCGGCGGCGGCGGCCTCGGGGAAGCGGCCCAGCCAGCGGCGCGGCCAGCAGGGGGCGAGAAGGACGTTCGCAGGGAGGCAGTGCCGGTGCAAGGGCGCGTGCCGCGGCGGCCCGGCTCGGCCCAACGTCTGGACGCCAGGCGCGGTGTCCCGGCAACGGGTAAACAGTGCGCGGCCCGGCCCGGCGCGCGCCGCCCGGCGTTTGTGCGCGCGGCCCGCCGGCGCCCGCGAGCGCCGAGTTCCGCCGGCCCCGCGGAGTCATCGCCGGGCGGCGCGCAGCCCGCCGCCTGGGGTGCAGCGGCTGCCGGAGCCCCGCGTGGCGGCAGCTCGGTGGCTGGCTGCCCCTGACCCCGCCGGGCTCCGCTGAGCGTCTCGGCCTCCTGGCGCGGCGGCGCGGGAGCCGGTCCTGAGAAGCGTGGCGAGGTCCCGGGCCCGCGGCGGTTCGCGGGCGAGGCGCGGGGAGGAAGCCCGGGGCGCGGCGGGAATGGGCGCCGTCCCCGGGTAATGCGAAGAACTGGGTCTGTCTCCTTGTTTCAGGATTGGGAACCCATGCCACGCTCACCTGCTCAACTGAGAAAGGAGTTACCATGGTAATACGCGTCTTATTTAAGTAGAAGAGGTTCCCGGGCTCTAGTCGAGTTAGTTTCATGCCGTCCTGCCTCGTAGAGGCTCGCTTTACTAGGATTTGGTACCCACGCCTTCATCTCCTCTCGTGGTGGTTGGTGTCCAGCTCAGTGATCCGGACGCTTGGGGTAAAGATGAGGGCGGAGGGGGTTTCCCAGGTGTCCTGCGCACTCCGGCGGGACAGCCGCAGCAGAATCAGGCTAAGCCCTGTTTGTGAGATAGTTGTTTAGTCCGTTGGTTCTGTGAGCCACTTTCACACCCAGAAGATGGTTTCTATGTGGGAAATAAAGAGGCTGGTATATTGATGTGGACTCCAGGGCGCCAGTACCTGCTATGCCGACAGCGACGGGCCCAGGCACTTGGCTACTGCCGCCCTCCCTGGGTCCCGTGCGGGATTCTTTGCGGATTAAGGAGGTAGAAAGTGAGCCCTGAGGCAACCCGCACGGCCCGCCCTGGAGAGTGAGTCTCTCTTCCAACCCCAGTTTGAGGAAAGGCTTTGGAGGAGAGCTTGGGTTCAGGGAGTTCTTGCCTTTTATGCCCAGGAAAGCTCGCAACATCCTTACAGCCATCTCACCTCCAAGTCGCCGGCCAGGTCGCTCTCTGAATCTCATAGCTCCATTCCCAACTTCCCCCACCCCGAGTTTCTCCACCAGAGAGCGTCTTCAAACTGCGTTCAAAAGCTAGCTCTTTTAACCACTACCCTCTCCGCGCTTCCCAATGGCACGTTCATTCTCCTGGCCTCCAACTCACAAGCCTTGCTGTTCCTCAGCCCTCCTCCAGTCTCTGGCAACCTGCTTTCGCCGCCGCTGCTCGGGTCCTGCCCTCCTTTCCACCCGCCTGGCTTCTGGCAGTAGCCCACTACCTCGCTGCCCAGGGGCTGTCCATCTCCTTTGTCCTCCTTCCCTGACAGTTTGATCGTCCAGAATGCCTGTGACCTTGTAACCCCCACCCCAGGTCCTCAGGGACTTTTACTGTGTCAGTACTGCTCTCCTTGAACTTGGGGCTCAGAGTCCTTGGTAAAAGGGCCTCAACCTCTTAAGCTTTATCTACAGTATTCTCTGCTTTTTTTTTTTTTTAAATTGAAGCGTGGTTGATATACCAAATCCTGTTCTCTGCTTAAAAAAAAACAAACCCAAAAACATCCCACCCTAGACCCACATTCTTCTGGAAGCCTCCGGCACCTGCCTCATCTCTACCTTTCTTCAAGATCGACCCAGCTCAGAAGTACTTCCTGCTGCCCTATTGCTCCCCAAGCACCCATAGCCCTCTGCCCTTCGCCGAGCTTTGCCTTACTCCTCACCCCCACTTGACTGCAGTGTAGAAAAGTGTTTGGTAAATCTCTGTGTTCCTTCCGGTTCATTTCCTGTAAAAGCACTAAATGAATCTCTCTTGATATAAAGTGAGAGTCCTGCCGGGGTTACTTCACCTGGTTGATATCGCCATTTCTTTCAGAGCTCAGGGAACTGAAGCAGAATGGCTTAATAAAGCCGTTTAAGTTACTGGCTTCCCACTGCTCCTTGTGTAAAAGGTCAAACACCTTAGCTTCCAAGGCCTGCAGGCCAGAGTTGCACCCTGCCTGTTTTCCAACCTCAGCTCCTCTCACTAACCGCCTTGGTTGCCTATGGGCTGGCCACATTGACCTTTTTTTTGATCCCTTCAACTGTGCATGTTTTCACCAGCCTCAGAGCCTTTGCACATGCTGTTTGCTCTGCATGGGAATTCCCTGCCCCTCAGCCCACAGACCACTCTCAGGAACCCTCTTCCTTCCCATCCCAGACCAGTCTCTCCCTGCCCTTCCTATGTCCTCATAATGCCACGTGCCCTGGGTTCTTCCTTCGCAGCATAGTTGGTGAGTATATGTGTTTGTGATTAGGTAACTAGTATCTTTCTCCCTCACTAGACTGTAAGTCTCATGAGGACAGGAGCCCAGATTTGCTTTGCTCTCCATCTAACACAGGGCTTGGTGCACAGTAGGTATTTTTAAAATATTTGTTGAATGAATGAAGGAGACATCTTAAAATTCAGAAAAGCAGAAATCTATACTTGCTTTCTAAATCCTGGGTCTGCGTTGTAGCTGAGTTGCAATTTATTCACTCAGCAAATATTTATTCATCCCTACTGTGTGCCGGACATTGGTCTAGGTCCTGGGATTTCAGCGGTGAGCTCATAGACAAAACCTCTGGTGAGGGAAACATACAATAAAGACATAAACAAAAAAAATATTGTTAAATAGTGAAGAGTGTTTAGGGTAGGAGGTAGAGAGTGATGCTGCTGGGAGGGTTGTCAGGAGACCATCTATATCTCCTCCACCTTTTGCCTGGGACAGCCCCTGTTTCTGTTTGTTGAAGTGTCTTGGTTTGGGCAATAAATGATATGGTCAGCCTAGTCATAGATAGAATATAGACATGGTGTCTGGGAGGTTTTCTAAAGAGGTGATGCTTGGGCAGTGATCAGCACAAGGAGAAGAAATACGTCGTGTCCCCTGTGAAGGCCTGCAGGAAAAGGAGGCAGCAGGAGGAGCTTGGCAAGTTCGGGGACTGGAAGGCAGGCCTGCGTGGCTGGAGCCAGGGGGTCCTCACTAAGGCCTTTGGCGGGTGTTAAGTCAGGTGCTGCGTGTTCTGAGACCAGGAACAGCCAGGAGCTACGGAGTGGCCTAGAACCAGCCAACTGGCTCCGAAACTGAAAATTTCCACCCTCTTACAATAATTTCTTAATAGATTTATTGAGTTACAATTGATGTATAACAAATTGCACATATTTAAATATACAATTGGATAACTTTGGTGTATGTATGCACCCCTTAAGCCATCACCGCATTTTAGATAATAAACATGTTGATCACCCCCAAAAGTTTCCTTGTGCTTCTCTGTACTCATTCCTTTTCTCTTGCCCCTCCCTGCGCCTCGGCATTCCTCTCCCACACAACCACTGAGCTGTTCTCTGTCTCTGTAGGTTGGTTTGTAATTGCTAGGATTTTATATCTATGGGGTCATACAGTATGTATTTTTTTTTTTTTTTTGGTCTGGCTTCTTCCACTTTTTAATTCTTTTGAAATTCACCTATGTTGTAGCATGTATCAATAGTTAGTCTTTTTCATTGCTGAGTAGTATTCCATTGTGTGGTTAGACCATTTGCCCACTGTTGGTTTATCCATTCACCCACTCACAGACTTTTGGGTTGTTTCCAGTTTTTAGCTATTAAAAGTTAAAGCTACTATGAACATTTGTGTGTAAGTCTTTGAACAGACAGGTGCTTTCATTTCTCTTGGTAAATGCCTAAGAGTGGAATGGCTGGATCATATGGTAGGTGTGTGTTTAATCACTTAAAAAAACTGCCAAACTGTTTTCCGAAGTGGCTCTGTCATCTTAGATTTCTACCAGCAGTGTGTGAGACTTCTATTTCCTCCACATCCTCACCAGCACTTGCTGTGGTCGGTCTTTTTAACTTGAGCCATTCTAAGAAGTATGTGGCCATATCTCATTGTGGTTTTAACTGCGTTTTCCTAATGACTTGATGTTGAGTATCTTTTCATGTGCTTCTTGGCCATCTGTAGATCTTCTCTGGGGAACTGTCTAAATCTTTTGACCATTTTTTATTGGGTTGTTTTCTTACTGTGTTTCAAGAGTTCCTTATTCTGGATATAAAGCCTTTATCAGATAAATGATTTACAAGTATTTTCTCTCAATTTGTGGCTTGGCTTTTCATTCTCTTAACAATATCTTTTTAAGAGCACAAGTTTTTTATTTTTATTATTTTTAAATTTTATTTATTTGTTTATTTATTTTTTGAGAAAGATTAGTCCTCAGCTAACTGCTGCCAATCCTCCTCTGTTTGCTGAGGAAGACTGGCCCTGAGCTAACATCTGTGCCTGTCTTCCTCTACTTTATATGTGGGACGCCTACCACAGCATGGCTTTTACCAAGCAGTGCCATGTCTGCACCCGGGATCCAAACTGGTGAACCCCGGGCTGCCGAGAAGTGGAATGTGCGAACTTAACCGCTGCACCACCGGGCCAGCCCCAAAGTTTTTTATTTTGATGGTGAATTTATCAATTTTTTTCTTTCATGGGTTGTGCTTTTGGTGTCATATCCAAGCAATCTTTGCCTACCCCAGGGTCACAAAGGTTTCCTCCTATATTTTCATCTAGAAGTTTTATCATTTTTGGTTTTATATTTAGGTCTATTTTGAGTTAATTTTTGTATGTGATGTAAGTGTGGATTGAGTTTTCTTTTTTAGCAAATGGATATTCATTATTCCAGCACCATTTGTTATAAAAATTATCCTTGCTCCACTGAATTGCTTTGGCACTTTTGTTGAAAATCAGATGTTCATATATGTGTGTATCTATTTCTGGACTCTTTATTCTGTTCCATTGATCTATTTGTCTATCTTGACACCAATGCCACGATGTCTGGATACTGTAACTTTGTAATAATTCTTGAAATAAAGTAGTATTAGTCCTTCAACTTTGTTCTTCTTTTTCAGTCCTTTGCATTTCATATGAATTTTAGGATCTTCTACAAAAAGATGAGAACTTTGAATAAAAATGTCAAACCTCTATCCTATGTCCTTTGAATTTCCATATGAATTTTAGAATCAGTTTGCCAATTTCTACAAAAAGATGAGAACTTTGAATAAAAATGTCAAACTTTTGTGTGAATTTTAGTTCTCAAACCATTTTAGAGATTAAAACCCACAATTTTTTTTGAGGTTATGGCAGGTAAGTCAAGTGTGGTTGACATGCAAAAAAGTATAAAATTGGAAAGAAAGCCAAGACCCAAATCTTTAAGAGCTTCTGGCAGGGCACACCCCCAGCCCGGGGGCTGTTTCATCAGGAGATGTCCTTATCACATGGGCCTTCCTATTGTTTCTTTTCATTTGGATTTCCTCACAGAAGCCAGACCACTTCTCCTCTTCATTTCTGGGTTTTGTATCTAGGAATTTACTCCGTTTCACTTAACAAAAATGCATGTTAATGTTTTTAACGCATTGACTCTTTCTCTTTGTTTAGCTCGGGACATTTTTAAAGTGAGATGCTATGAACAGGACATCTACTTTATACAAATATTTAGCCTTTGCAGGCGTCCCTGATAAGTTATACATTCCTGTCCCTTTCCTAGAAGAGACACTTTCTAAATAATACGCTTCCGTTGGTTATTTTCCCTGTGGGTGGATCCGAGGACAGAGAGAAGTCACTCAGGTTGTGCAGCTCTAGCAAAGATTCGGAGCCTTTTTATTCCCTGCTCAGGATAACATCAGTTCCTTTCCCCCCCAACCCCCCAGGGCAGTGGCATGGCGGCACAGCTGTGGCAGGAGCACAGGCGATGAGCCTGGTGGATGCTGGTTTGCACTGTGACCTTGCTCTGCCCCTGCTTTTCCATTTTTAAGACGGGAAAAAATACCTACTGACGCAGGGTGGGTGAGCCGAGGAGTCGAAAGAAAGATTTCTTGGACTCTCAAGATCTGGCAGTAGTGCTCTTTTATTTAGAGAATAGTGTAGCATGGGGAAAGGACCCATGGGCAGGCAGAGCTGGTGCGTGGGGACAGGACCCACGGGCAGTCAGAGCTCCTGCTGCTGCCCCGAGTTGAGGGTTAGGGCTAATTTTATAAGGCATGGGTATGTGAATCATCTCTTTACAAGACAAAGGAAAGAACATGAAAAAAAGTTAAAATGGTATCAGTGCAGGTGGGGTCTGGTCATTGGGTGATCCCATGATTTTTAGACAAGAATCAAATCAGATTAAGTAAAGGTTAGAAAGGTTAGAAGCCACCACCCTAAATCAGTTACATGAGATTGCCAGACAGCAATCAACTTAAGTTCTTGCCTTCCCCATTAAGAGTTTCTAGGGACAAGGTCATCTCCCTTCTTCTTCCTGGTACAGAGAGGGAGGCACCTTTTACAGATAGAGATTTACCTTACAAATGTAAATGTGTCCCAACAAAGGGCAAGTTCCATTCCCCAGAGCCTCCTTCCCTGTCCCAGTTTATCGAAAGCAATCAGCCCAAAACAATCCCGATGCCAAAGAGACATATCTTGGGGTGGCCAATTTCAGGTCCCTACAAGGTCATCCCCCCTTCCTTCACAAATGCAAATATCTCTCAAAGAGCAAGCAAATTCCAAACCTAGGAGCTTGCTTCTCATCTGCAGTTTTTTAAAATTAACCAGCCTGAAATCCTCATCACCTACCTTCCTTGAAATACAGCTCTGAGGATTAGCGGTGATAGAGTGATGGCAACAATCCTTTATCGAGTGCTTGCTTCATGTCAGACACTGTGCTAAGCGCCTCACATCCGTGTCTCTGTCCTCATGACTATGAGACCACATAACAAGGGTCAAAATATATATTTGCATCCTGTTTGTCTAATAGGTTTTGAACTGAATTTTTATTATGAAAGTTTCCATACATACACAAAAATAGAATAGTAAAATGAATCCCCATATATCCATTTCTCGGATTCAGAAATTATCAGGATTTTGCCACATTTGCTTCATCTGTGCTTTTTTGGGGGTGGGGAGGGGGAAGCTACAGTATTTTAAAGCAATTCTCAGACCTTCTTTCACTTCATTCCTAGAGATTTTAGTGTGCATCTCTGAAAAGTGTAAACATTTTCTTCCGTTACCCAAGGCCATTATCAGACCTAACAGAATGAATAGTTCCTTGATATTATCAAATTTCCCCAATTGCCTAAACAATGTCTTTACAGCTTGTTTGTTCCAATTAGAATAGAGACAAGGTCCACACATTGCATGAGGTTTGGGTCTCTTTTAATCTGGGGTGCTCGATACACGTGTGTTCAGTTAAATTGCATGTGACTTCTCCTACTCTGTGCAAAAGTTTTTTTGGTGACAATTCTTTCCTTTTAGGAAATTTTTTTTCTTAAGTTCAGTAGGAAATGTTGAAAATTATGTCAAAGTTATAAAAGCTAATTTTCGCCCCATGTATATACTTGTCTTTGAAAGCCAGGTAAAGAGAAGAGAGGAACAGGCCGGGGCAAGTCTCACGGGAAGAAGCAGAAGAAACCTGAGGTGGACATCCTGAGCCCAGCCGCCATGCTCAACCTGTACTACATTGCCCACAACGTCGCCGACTGCCTGCAGCTGCGCGGCTTCCGGTGGCCCGGCGCTCCCAAGGCAAAGAAGGGGAAAGCCAAGACTTAAAGGATGGCATTGCACAGCGTAGCTCTGTTACAAAGAACATAACATGGGGAAGAGAAATCGGGCTATTACAACCACTGCAAGCAAAATAGACTTTCCTGCAGATCACTTGAGATGCAAGCTAAGTGTGCTTTTCTAAGTGTGATAGTTAAGGATAAAGAAATGCACGTTACTTCCTCCGCTAAATCCAGGTATGGTTCGCCACTTTGGTTTTTCAGAAGTCAAGGGGAAAAAAGTCTGAGTAATTCCTACGTGGCGTGGTGGAATTGAGAGGACTCTAAAAACTGATTGTAATTTGGGGTCAGAATTAAACCTTGCTCTCCAGAGGCAGTTCTAGCTTGCATGAGTTGTTTTCTTTTGCCAAAGGGGCTTTGTTATTTAGAGAAGACATGGCAAAAAGCACAGGATTTGCTTATGAACATCTCCCTCGGGAACTGTTTTCTTTCCCCGTCTTTTTCAAGAAAAATAATAAATATCTTGTTTCTGTAATTTTCTTCTCAGCAGTCTGACTCTTGTCTGAATTGAATTCGCCACAGATACCAGTGGCGACTGAGATTGTCGCTGTGCTCTGGCCTTGCTGGGGCGTGTAAACAAGTGAGGCCAAGAGCTGACAGCAGTCAGTGGTTGGGGTGCAGGGGGAAGGGAGCAGGTGAGCGCTCACCCCTCTTCTATTTCACCTGACTCTTCTCCCTCTTCTCGACGTTCTCTACACATCTTCTTCCCACCTTCTGCAGGCTCCCTTTTAAACTTGGCTGACCCTGAGTTATGGACTTGGTGCTAGGAATTTACCATGGGCATTCTGCTGATATTCCAGATCTCCCTCACCTGTGAGGAGGCACCTAAGAGAGAAAACTGCAGTTCTTTCTCCTCGCCCAAAAGGCCCAAACACCCCAAATGTGACACTTGGAGGGAAAGACATTTTTTGGTATAAACACCATCTCTGAATCACTTGGCATCCTGTACCTGCTCCTGCTCTGGCTCCTGGCACGTGTGGTCATCACTTCCCCTCCACACACACACACACTGACACCTGCCCTGTTGTCTCCATTCGCAGCTGTGAGACATTTTTCAGTGTAAACATCATCTCTGAATGACTTGGCATCCCATCCCTGCTCCTGCTCTGGCTCCAGGCACGTGTGGTCATCACTTCCCCTCCACACACACACACTGACACCTGCCCTGTTGTCTCCATTCGCAGCTGTGAGCCCGAAGATGACTCCTGTAGGCAGCACCTGTCCGAGGATGCTCTGGTTTGTCTGACTGACTTATAATGAAGCCGCAAGTTGCCTTGTGCGGATCTCAAAGATTCATGGAGCTTGCTAAGGGAGGCTGCAACCCAGGACTCAGGAATTCATACATAGCAGAGAAAAAAGGAAGTTACGTGAAACTCTGTACTAGAGAAGTGGGGGGACTGGCCCAGTGGTGCAGCAGTTAAGTCCGCATGTTCTGCTTCGGTGGCCTGGGGTCCGCCGGTTCGGATCCCGGCTTGGCATGCCATGCTGTGGTAGGCATCCCACATATAAAGTAGAGGAAGATGGGCACGGATGTTAGCTCAGGGCCAGTCTTCCTCAGCAAAAAGAGGAGGATTGGTGGCAGATGTTAGCTCAGGGCTAATCTTCCTCAAAAAAAAAAAAAGTGGGGTGCTCGTAATGCAGGTGAATTTGTTGGGGATGACACTCGTCTGGCTGGACCGTCTGTGCAGAGTCGGTGTGAGCCCTTGGCTGGTTGCCAGAGGAGCTCTCGCTCCCTTGGGTGAAGGTTGGTGCTTCTCCTAACCTGAAGGGGAGCCTTTCTGTTCTCTGTCTGCAGGCTTTAGAAACAGGGAGCACCTACCCACTCTGCTCAAGGCTGCTGGGCTGGATCCAAGCACTTTCTGTTTGGGAACACACTATCTAGTTCAGTCCTTCTCAAACTTGAGCGTGTATCATGGTCACCTGGAGGACTTGTCAAAGCACGGATTGCTGGACCCCATCCTTAGGAAGGGTGGGGTTCGAGACTCTCCATTTCTGCTAAGCTCCCAGGTTAAGCTGCTGCCACTGGACCACACACTTGGAGAAGCAGTGCTCCGCTTGATGCTGCCTAAGCAGGTGCCAAAAGTGTGGTTGAGTCTTTGAAATTGTAGGATGTCTGAGGCTCTTCTCTGCCCTACTTGGGTTCAGGAGCTCGTATTTCAGCAGTTGTGTTCATTGGGACTTTGGGGAGGTGGCCCCCGCAGAGCATCCTTCTGATCTCATCCACAGCTCCGATAACATCATTTAGGGGACTATGGAGACGTGACAGTCAGCAGACATCTCCAGGAAAAGGAGAGCATCTGGAAGGGGAAATGCTTTCTTCTTCTGAGATGGTTGAGTGATGAGCAGAAAGGACTGTAAGCACTGGAATAGAGGCACTGCTAGTCCAATTCGATGAGGCACGGTGTACTCAGTTTTGCACCCAGTTTTTAGCAGAGTAACTGAAGGCTGTTTTAGCCACATGCTCATTACAACCCTGGGGTTCTGAGAGAAGCCATTAGGAATCCCGAATTAAATAGCTACGGTGGTGTTATAGTATATGACACAAACTATCACATACAAGCTATATAAAAGTTGACGCATTTTACTTTGAGAGAAATTAAGTTTTTTTGGTGAAACACCACATTTAAAACTTTTTTCAACAAAATTATCTCATTTCAACAATTTATTGAGCATCTCTTATGCTTGGCACTGGGAAGATAAGACACAGTTCCTGCCCCCAGGGTTCCGGCCTGGTGAAGGGGGCTGTGGCATAGGTTCCATTGTGATGGAAGGTGGTTAAGTTTCTATTTCACTTTCGATAAAACACATTCATCGTACAACTTAAGAAGGTGATTAAGAGGAGAGCAAGACTAAGAGACCTTTATAGGACATCTGGAGGGCATCCGATGATAAAACAATCCTTGAACACTGCTGTATTTATTTCACCTAAACCCAAATCGGCAAGGATCCTGACTCTTCCTGGGGTGAGGATTCAAATGGGAGCTTGTGAAAGGAGCCGTGATGAGAAAGTCCACACAGGCCGTGCGCTGTCTGTGGGAGGCAAGCCTCCTTGCTGTGAGGCTACGGGCGTTTTCGTGAGAACATGAGGCCTGAAGCAGGGCCCCATGGAGTTCAAAAGTGGGAGGGAAGGGATCGGTGACTATGGGAACATGCAAAACGTGCACTGAGAGGAAGGGAGATTTGCAATAGCATGTGGATAGAGGACACTTTTTAGAATGGAAGTGCCCCTTGCAAAATTGATGACATAATAATCAAAAAGAGAGACAACAGCAAGTGTTGGTGAGGATGTGGAGAAAATGCAACCCTGTATGTTGCTGGTAGAAAGGTAAAATAGTGCAGCTGCTGTAGAAAACAGTTTGGCAGGTCCTCAAAACGTTATAAGTAGAGTTATTGTATACCCAGCAATTCCACTCCTAGGTATATGCCCAAGAGGACTGAAAATATACATTCACACAAAAACTTGTATATGAATATTCATAGCAACATTATTGCCAACTGCCAAAAAGTGAAAACAACCCAAATGTCCATCAACAATGGCTAGACAAAATGTAGTCTGTCCATGCAGTGGAATGTTATTTGGCCATAAAAAGGAATGCAGTTCGGATATGTGCTACAATGTGGATGAACCTTGAAATCATTGTGCTAAGTGAAATAAGCCAGACACAAAAGGTCACATCTTACATAATTCCATGCATATGAACTGTCTCCGATAGGCAAATCCATAGAGACAGAAAGTAGATTACTGATGGCCAGGGGCTAGGAACGAGAAGTAACTGCTAACGGGTGGTTCCTCTCTGGGGTGACGAAAGTGTTCTGGAATTAGATAGTGGTGATGTTTGCACAACCTTGTGAATATAAGAAAATCACTGAATTATACACTTTAAAAGGGTGAGTTTTATGGTACATGAATTATACCTCAGTTTAACAAGCCCATGAAAGCTGACAAAGGTCCAAGAAGACCAGGAGATGCAGGAGGCGAGGGCAAGAACCAAATGCCAGAGCAGGTGCCCCAGACAGAGATGAGGCGGAGAGACCAGGTTCTGGTCAGACACCTATAGCCGGGTGCCTGGGGCAGGCAAAATTGGGAGCTGCGGTCAAAGTGGGGACTTAAGACCCACAGTGTCCACCTTTGCTGCAGGGGAGGAGGCCGCTGGGGTCTGGACTGCCTCATCTTCATTCAAGTTCCAACCACCAGCTCCTTTTCTACCCACCCTCTCCTGACCTCACCCTCAGCAGATAACCTGGTCTCCCTGCCAGGAATGTGTCCCCACCTCACGCGGTATGGAGTAGGAGTCTGGTCCCTCCTCTGCAAGGGCCGGGAAGGGTTCAAAACAGCCAATTTCTTGTTGAAACACTCCAACCTCCTCTCCATAGGCGGTCTTTCCCCCTTTGTCCTTTCCCCTCAGCCCTACAAGGCTCCCAAGGTGCATTTTCTCATAGTGACCGTCCCCTGATCCTGCCCCTTGGTTCCTCCAGCCCTGTGGAGCTGACTGCTGAGACATTTAACCACAGCAAGGGATTAACGGAGGGCCCACTCTGCAAGCACAGACGACACGCACAGCTGCCCCCAAGTCACCCCGTTGTCCCAGGGAAAGTGAGGCCAGAGCCAAGAAAACAGAAGCAGAAGTTAGTGGAACTTTAAGAACCAAGACCTGAATATTTTTATTTTATTTTACACTTGGAAAATTGACTCTTATTATGAACATTTCCAAACTCATGCCAGAGTAGAAAGGAGTACGACAAACCCAGCTTCGACCACTTCGATTGGTTCACCTTATTCATTTCATCTATCCCCTCTTCATTTGTAGCACTTTAAGGCAAATCACATACGCGCCACATCATCCCTGAGCTTGTAGTTTTACAGTCAAACTCCCCCTTCAGGGCGATCCAGCTGTAATTCGAGTTCTCAGTGGTCAGTTGTTAGGTGCCCCTGTGCCGTGAGGGAGGGTTTTCCATCCTTGCTCCACACCCTTCTGCCCTCCTCAAACGTCCTTAAGTCACCTCCATTTCGAAAGCCTTAGCATGACCCTGCCACCCATTCAGCTGCCATTCTGTGCCCCTCTCTTCTTTTCTCTTTTTCTTTATTTGTCGTATTTCCTGAATGTGCAGCCAAGCCTGCATTTCCTCTGAACCACCCCAAACCCCTTGTTATCTGGGATTCTGTTTCTTATCACTTAACCAAACTTTTCTCAAGCCACCAGTGACTTCCTGGTTCCAGGATGCTGGCCGTTTCTCTATCCTCCTTTTATTCTTTGTTTCATCCTTCAACTAAGGTGTTTTCAGCTCCTCCCATGTGGCAGGCACGGGCTCTGGGCTAGAAGACAGAACCGGGCTGCTGTCCCCAGCTGTTTATCTAGCCTCATCCTTCACCCTCCTCTCCCCCTTCACGGGCGATCTGGAAGTTCTCAGGGCTGACGATGTCCCCTCGACCCTCTGCCCCCATCCACCCTCACACCGTCTTCCGGGAGGACTGCAGGGTTTTGGACCTA